ACCTGAAGGCAGTCAGTCCCATCTGTCCTATTTATATCTGCCATCAGCCAGGTGGTATTCATCTGCACCTTGGATAGACTAAGTAATAGCTGTAGGAATGGGGCTAGAAAACCTGGAGGCAGTGGCAGGTGTTTTGTGAGGGAAAGCAGGGCCTTGGGCTACTTCTAACACACTTTTCTGTGAGGTTAAGGAGAATGGTGATCAGAGGTGTTGGGCAGGGTGTGGGCAGATCCCCCAGTTAGTGAAATTTAAAAATTTTGTGGACCTTTTGGGGCAGTGCACTAGTGAATTTTATTCCATGATAAAGACTGTATGAGTGATTCTGAAAGACAGACAGATCACTAATATCCCTTTTCTTCCCTACCTCCTGAAGTCTAAGTTGTTTTTCCTATAGTGGCCAGGATTCTTGTATTTCCTGCGTCCATAAAGTCAGTGTATTTCATTCTAGTAACTGACTTTACTTATTTATTTTTTTTTCCTGGTCATTCCTTGCCTGGAATGGTCAGGTGCAGTACAGACAAGAACATTTTTATTAAATGTATAGAGATCCTTTTATGTTTCCCACATTGGTCCACATGAGTCACCACAGAGGAACTTGCTGAACAGTATATTTAGCCAAGCAGTCATTAATTTTACCCATTTTCTTTAGAGAAATGTCCATCCTTTGCCCTACTTTTTTTCTGTGTTGCTGAGGATCTACCCCTAGGGTCTTGTTCATTGAATATCTGGTTAAACATCAAGCTTTACCCCTACTTTTCCTTTGCTTTGAGTTGTTTTTTTGAGGCTCTTCTGGCACTTAGCAATATAAGATGCTTGTGTAAGAACCTATTTTGGGTAATTTTTGTGATCAAAAAATGCATACTATTGTCAGATTGCAAATGGTGTGGAAAGTAAAAATGTTAAGGATCATAGTAACACTGCTAGAGTTGGGGACTTGAATAAAAATACTCAATCTTTTTAGCGTCATCAACACTGAAGCACCCCTGATAATTGTAACCTGGTGAAGGAGACAGAGACCAGCTTGGATTGAATTCCCAGTACACTCCTCCACACACACACACACACACACACACACACACACACACACGGAGCCAGAGAGAATAGCACACACACACACAGACCTGGGTTTAATTCTCCAGTGTGTGTGAGGGGATTGGTATGGGGAGAACTGAATTAACTTTTAGACTGGTCTCTATCCCCAGCCTTTTATTTTTCTGAATTTTGAGACAGTTCTGCTACATCCATAAATTGTCCAGGCTGGGCTTGAACTTGCTTTCAAGCCTTGTCCTAAAGTGTATCACCTCACTTAGCAAGTTGTTATTTTTTATTTTGAGACTAGGTCTCTCCCGAGTTCTCCAGGCTGGCCTTGAACTTAACATTCTCTTGATTTAGCCTCCCAAATCCTGGGATTACAGATGTGTACCACCATACCTGGTTTATATCCCTTTAATTGATCAATTTCAACAGTAGAGCTATAAAAGTTAGAGCTGACTGCAAGAATTTTTCTAGATTGTTTGAGCTAGTTTTTCATTGTGAAATGAATCACTTTCATCAGCATTTAAAAATATTTTTGGTACTGGGACTAAAAACTCAGGACCTTGTGCTTGCCAGGCAGGTTCTGTGCCAATAAGCTATATCCCTAACCCCACATTATGATCTAAATCTGTAACAGCAAGAATGTGTAAAGTTGGTCCATGCACAAGGGGATTTGTGGTAGGGAAATTTCTCCTAGGGGGACAGTGCTCATAGCACACAGGGCCCTACTAAACAATGGTGATTTCCTTTACTGTCATACCTAGAGGTAAAATATAAACAAGATAGGCTGCAGAAGGAGCTGAGCAGTAAGAAACAAACTTTGTGTACCTCGCCCCCTCATCTTCCAAGCAGACTAGCTGAAGATTTGTCTGCTTCTGCCCACAGTAGTTGCAGTTTTTCTTTTCATACTCAGTGTGGATGCACAGCTCTGTAACTGCTGTCTGAAAAGGGACAGAACCTTCTGTGCTTTCCTCTCCACCAGATGAATCTTAGTTCTAGTTGTTCATAAAGCAGACCTGCTAAAACTTCAGTTTGGTGAGGAAGTTTATCCATCTGGGAAAGAGCAATAACCAGGCTATTATTCATGCTGTCTTCTTTGACTCTGATACTTCCTGATACCTAGCCTGAAATGATCTTTTCGATTGAGCCTCATTAGTAGGCAGTAAAAATAGAGTACTGTTTACTAACCATTCTCAGGAACTTTTATCTATTCCTGTTAACTGACCTTTTTGTTCCATTACTAGAAAGCTTTGTCAGCATTCCATCTTCATTGCCACAACAGTCAGAAATTTCAAAGGGTCTGAGGTTGTACCTAAATTAATTGAAAGACTAATTACTGTAATTTCATGGATTCTGTAGGAAGATATGAAAATTCTGGGTCAAAGAAAAAGGATATCATCATTCATGACAATTTCAGTAGCCAGAGTGCTTGTTTCCAAAATCAGGGTATTACAAAGAGAGCTAGGAGATACCTGCATACAAAGTTGGACTCCCAGTTTAGGAGAGGACAGGCTCTTCTGTAATGGGCAGTAAACCTTTCAGACCTTTGAACTGGATGCTTACATTGTCTTTATTATACTGGAAAGTAAATAAACCTTTTGTTTCCCAAGGAGACATTTTTTTCCTGAAGTTGGCCTTACTGTGTAAACTTATACAAACTGTGTAAACTTCTAGAACAAAAAGAATTAGTGCATTTCCCTACAAAAGTTGTATGGAAGGATAGACTTGACAGTTTGTAGGATTTGAGGCTATGTTGATTGAGGTAAGTCAGATACACAAGCTTAATATCATATTGTTTCTTTTATATAAGAAACACAGAATGAATAAAATAAAAGGTAAAGGAAATAGGAAGATCATTTTTGGAGGGAAGGGGGTCAAGTGATAGGGAGGGAAGGGATGAAGAAAAAAGGAATTTTGCTGTTTTATATACATGTACTAACTCTGTACAAGTAATTTAAACAGTATGTGTTGCAAACAAAAAAAGGTGGGGAGTGGGAGAGGTCAAGGCACAGGTGAAGAGATGAAAGGGAGGGAAGAGATGAAAAAAAGGATTTGGTATGTTCTTGTACCAACTGCCCACAAGGAATGCAAACATGTACTGCACACATGTACTAATAAGCTAAAAAAATACGTACAAAAGTGTGATATCCATGGAGAGGTACTTCCACCTTGTTTTGGCATTGGATAGTATGATTATAACTTCTTTTCTCATTAATTAAAAATTCTGTTGATAAAAGAGGGATTTTTTTTGCAGGGTAATCCTAGGCTTTGATCCAAAGCCTTGTTGCATGTTAAGCCTGTGCCTAGCCCAAATAGTTTTTTGGTGGAACCAGGGATTGAACTCAGGCCCTTGCGCTTGCCAGGCAAGCGCTTATTCTACTGGGCCATCTCCCTGGCCCCGCAAATAGAATCTTAATAGATTTGTTTCATGTATAGTATTAAGCCTGTTCTCTCCTCACAATAACATTATTTTTCCTGCTTCACTTACTTGAGAATTCTGGCCTATTCTCACTTAGTTTGCCATAATTGTCTCTAACTGGTTTCATTTCTTGTAATCTTACTCTTTTCACCCCACAAAAAGTACTGTCAGAGGGATTTTTTAAAAATACAAATATGTACTCAATTTAAATTTTTCATTGATTCTCCGTTATTAGTAGAACAGACAGAGTTCAGCTGTTTAACAGTTTGTGTTTTTTATCCTCCTTACCTTTTATTTTTTCTGTTACTTGCTTTAAAATTTTTAGTTTATTGATACATTTTATTTTTTATTTTATTATACAATTTAGATATACATAATGGTCAGTAGAGAATTTGTACCTGTACATGATATACCTTGATTCTTCTTGTTTCCCATTCTCCTTCCTCTTCAACCCCTCTTCTACTCCTTATTTAGAAAAACTTTTGTTTCCATTTTTTTGTTTTCTCATTTTTTCTGCTCCCCCTTCCGTTTTCCTTCCCAGAATATTTGTCGTATGGTGACTCTGCCACCTAGATTTTAAATATTGGTGAATAAATTAACATTTTAAAATTTATCATTATCATCAACTTTGTTATTACTTTGCAGTCCTGGGAATAGAACTCAGGTCCTCACATATGTTAAGCAAGTGCTCTACAGCTAGCTGCATCCCTAGTCCCTCAAAAATACTTTTTAAACTTTTTTTGCGGCCATTACTAGGTAAGCTGTATCAGACAGCGTGTGTAGGCTGCTTGCCAATAGTTATAACCTTTGCATTTACCATTTTTTTCTCTTTTAGGTCTTTCTTTGCACTATAGGGTTCTTTTTTGCCTTTAATAATTTGCACATTTGTGTGCTGCATGTGTATCTTGTAAACCTATATCTTGCATAGGCCTTTAAGTGAGTCTGCTCTGGGCAGCTTCATAGTAATTTCTAGTATCTGTGCATGTGTCATTATAGCCTTTCCTTCATTGTGTTTTAATTACTGATTTTCTTTCAGGTCTGTATCCCCACTAAATAAAATACAGGCTACTCAGAACAAGACTCCTCTCTCTTTCCACATACTCAGAGTTTGTAAGAAGCACACTGCTTATCCAACAGTTGTTTTGTAATCAAATTTATTAAATAAGCTGGTGTTTTTAATGATCTTTAAGTCCTCCATACTTTGAGCTTTGAGGAAATTAATTTGCATACCTTTGAGGGGAAAGGTACATGCTCATTGGACTTTTTTGGGGGGGGGTGGCAGAACTGGGGATTGAACTCAGGCCCCTGTGCTTGCCAGGCAAGTGCTTATTCCACTGAGCCATCATGCCCTGGCCCCCTCATTGGAAAGTAGTACAGTCCCATGGTGTAGCCCAGTAATGGCAAACCTTTTACAGTTTTCAGTGATATAAACAGCCTGCCATAGGTTCACAACCACTGGCCTAAACCTATAATATGTATGGTTGTCATATATGTTATTTACTATGCCAAATAGTATTTTCTTGCTTTTCTCATATTTAAAATACAGACTGTGGATATTCATAAAGAGAAAGTGGCTCGAAGAGAAATTGGTATTTTGACAACAAATAAGAACACATCAAGAACTCACAAAATAATAGCACCTGCAAATATGGAGCGCCCTGTAAGGTATATTCGGAAACCCATTGACTACACAGTTCTGGATGATGTGGGCCATGGTGTCAAGGTAAGCTTTTTATATTATGTTATCTTAATTTGCATATCAAGCAGACATTTTGGATAGGAAATAGGGTCATAGTTTTCTTAATTGGTACATTCTCTTCAGCTAGTAACTAGCATAAAATTTTAATGTAATATCTTAATGATACCTATTTTACTAGGTTTGGCATGGAATTTTACCTTTGTAATCAGTTTATTCAGAAAAATATTAAAATTTGAAAAACTACCCATTTAAATATGTTGTTTGAATTCTAGACTATTAGAATAAATTTGTGCTATGAATGACATGTCTTGCTTTCGCTACTGAATACTTTAAAAATTACATGCTAATTTAAAAAATAAATTATACTCATTTCCTTATTTCTAGTATAGATATGTATTTGTGTGTATGTGGTTATAATTCCAGCAGCTTGTAAAAAATGCAGATTATATGAATTTTTGTCTGCGTCTTCTGCTACCCCTCTAACAAAAATAGAAAAAGCCACATCAGACTTCAGAAGACAGAGTATTTGTTGGCCGTGATTAAGCTTGGCACAGGTAACTGGCTTTGAGGCTACCTGTAGTCTGTCTTTGCTTTGATATTCATGTGTTATTTTGCAAGCATCTGGAATGACATAAATTCTTCAGCCATCTTTGCTCAAGATAAAAACTATTTCTCTGAAATGTGGTAGTTTTTTTCTAGAAAATTACTTGATTTTTTTTTTTCTTCAGAGTAGTTTACAGTTTTTATAGAGCCAGATAGAAGTTCAGAGCTTTCCTAGTTGGTTGATCTGATGATGCTGTTTCTAGATCTTGACATTCTAAATTTTCTGGTGTTCCTGGTTGAGAAGAGGGTAGCCGACAAAATTGACCATTTTTTTCAACTCTTCTATGTACTTTTAGAATCTCCCCTTTACCTCTATGCTTGGGAGTTGTATGAAAAGTTGGAGTGCTTTACAGATGTAGAGGAGGCTACCTCTTGTTTCTTGTGTTTTTATCCAGGTTATGACTAGGGTTGTATAAAAGCTTAAAATTCAGTTGCAGTTTATTTAGATTAGATTGATCTACAGGCTTTGGATTTTGGGGGAGGTACCAGAAATTGAACTCAAACCTCATGCTTGCCAGGCAGGTGCTGTGTCACATTATGTTAAATCTCTAGCCCTAGGGTTTGAATTTTGAGAAGGAAAAACTAACTAACTTCTTTTGGGTTATTAATGATTTGGGGATTAAACACACACACACACACACACACACACACACATGCACACTCTTTTACCTTTCTTGATTTTTCTCTCTCCCTCCCTCCCCCCTTTAAATTTATGTAGTTGGTACAGGGTCTCACTAGGCAGCTCAGACTCCTAGTGATTGTCCTGTTTTTAGCCTCCCCAGTGTTGGGGTTACAGATGTGTGCCATGCACTTCCACACCTGGCCTCAGGTTATTGTGCCCTGAGGGCGGGGCTGGCACAGCATGCAGGACTAGGGATTGAACCCTGGTCCTTGTGCTTGCCAAAGCAGGCGCTTAGTTAGGTGAGCTATCTAGCTGGCTCTTTGATTTTTCTGATTAAGTGATAGATAATTACTTAAATTCTGTCATTATATTAGAAATAAATGTTCTCCATTATCTCATTCTTCCACTAAGAATTGTGATTAATAGTCTATAATAGAGAGTAATTAATAGGCTATTATGTGATTACAAATTTTAAAGAAGTTTTGTGAGAGAAAGTTGTCATTATATATGTATAGATAGAAAGTGTAAACACAGCATAATGTATGTCAAAACTGTATGGGTTTGAATCTTACCCATTCTTTGTAATCGTCATGCACATGTATAAGACATGGACTTTTTAATTTTGTTTTTCAATAGTTTTTGTAGTAAGATACATATACAGAAAATTTACCATTGACTATTTTTAAGTGTATCATTCTGTGACATTAAGTACATTCACATTGTTGTGCCATTTAAAAACATATTTTTGGCTAAGGGTAGGAGACTGGGTGGTCTGTAAAAACTTGTACTTTAGAAGCTGAAATGTGGTATATTGTTCATATTTTTTATAAGCAAAAATGCATACAAAGAGACATGCAATTATTTCCCCCCATAGTTATTTTGCTGTTTTGTTGTACTAGTTTTATGACTTTTGTTTAATTGTCGTAAATTTTTCTGCAGGATTGTTGAGGCATTTGAAATTAAGAAATTCAGTATTAAACAAATTCCAGGACCAAAATTATGAGAGGGACAAATTTAAATTTATTTTAAAATTAGAGTTCCATGGGCTGGGGAGATGGCTCAGTGGAATAAGTGCTTCTCTGGCAAGTACAAAGGCCTGAGTTCAATCCCCGGTTCCACGAAAAAAAAAATTAGAGTTCCAGGTTTAGGAAGACACTCTTCACTCTAGAATTATATTCTTATCCTTTGGTCGCTTTGGTATTTAGAAACCTGCTTTCTTACAATTTATTAGGGAAATTTACCCCTCGTATTTGCAACTGTTATTTTGTCATGTGATCATTTGACATTTTACTTTGTTGTTTTGATATTTTTTCAGATTGCAGAACTTTAAAATATATTTAAATACATTAATGTATTTAATGTAATACATTAACAGCTTCCAGGTATTATACATAAGATTTCATCCTCCAGATTAATATTCTATCGTATTTCATTTTGTGATATATATTTTGGTATTCATATTTGATATACTTGGGCTTTAAGTGGTATTTACTTTGTTAATACATTTTATGCTATGAAATAAATGATACACATAAATGTACTAGGAATTTAATGGCACATAGCTGTGATCCCTGATACTCTGGAAGGTAAAGTAGAAAGATTACAAGTACAGTCTAGAAAATGTAGGGATTTAGCAAGACGTGAGACTGTTTCATAGTTTTAAAAAACTTAAAAACTTAAAAAAGATCAGTGCAAGAAACACTGGATTTATTTAATCCGAAGTAATACAAAACAGAAAAGAAAATAAGACATGAGATAAATTTGACTTGTTTTTAGAAGCAAAATAAGATATGGATGAGGGAAGCAAAAACTTAAAAAAGATCAGTGCAAGAAACTCTGGATTTATTTAATCTGAAGCAATACAAAACAAAAAAGAAAATAAGACATGAGATAAATTTGACTTGTTTTTAGAAGCAAAATAAGATATGGATGAGGGAAGCACTGTATAGAGAAGCTACTGGGACTTGTACCTGTGTGAGAATGAAAAGAAGAGGACCTATCTGAGTGAGCACATAGTTTCAGAGTAAGCTGGAGTAGTGAAAGTTTGAATGCTTAACAGGGGAGTTTAAATTTAGTTTTTGCAGATATAATAATGAACAGATTTATTGCCTCGTTCAAAAAACGAGTCCTAAACTTTCCCTATATGTTAGTTTCTGTTTATGTGCTTGTTTTTAGGTTCCACAAAGTTCATGTGCTAGGGTAGCTGTTAGATTTTTGTTAGTGGTGGGAAAATACAAACGTAATCTTTTTTTTTTTTTTTGGCGAAACTGGGGATTGAACTCAAGCCCTTGTGCTGGCCAGGGAAGCGTTTATTCCACTGAACTATCGCCCCGGCCCCTGAAAATATAAACTTAGGCAAAAGAAAAAGTTCAAGGGAAGCAAGATTGTTTTTGGTCACAGGTCTGCCAGCTCTTTTTGATTGGTAGTCTCTAGAGGTTGGTTGGTAGTTTCTGGTTAACTTACTCTGAGTTGGGTTTTAGTAGGCTTAGGAGAAACCCAGCTATCTTAGTCTAATTGCTTCCCAGTTAATTTTTTGTTTTTAACAGTGCAGATACTAGAGCTTTATGGTATCTACATAAAGGTGCTGTTTATTTAAAAAAGTTTTGATTTTATTAAGCTGGTGAGTATGCTAATCAGTTATTCCAAAGATAGAAATGGCCTTATAGACATTTAGTATCTGTGACATATAAAGCTGTTTTGTTCTTAGGGATAGGGAAGAATCAAAGAGAATTAGTGTTTTTTATCTAAGCTTCCAAGCCAAATGGTAAAATTACTCATCCACAACTGTTAAGTTTTAAGAAAGTGAAGTGAGATCTTAAGGAAATGGAAAATAATCTTATTTTCATATTTTTGTAGCTATTTTTTATCTTTTTGGTATGTAGTTCAGACTGACTAAAGGTGTAGCCCAGGTCAGCCTTCAACTTGAAGATAGTTTTCTCGGTATAGAAGTATGCAGTGATGCTTTAGATTAGGGCTGTGTACGTTTTTTTATGTATAAAGGCTAATAATCTTTCATAGAAGCTAGCCTTTTGGATCAAAGAAACTTTTACTGTTTTGGTCATTACTTTTATTTTTGTTTTTGAGAAAGGGTCTCATTAAATTCATGAAGGCCTCGAATTAAATATATTGTTAAACCAAACTAGCCTTGAACTTACTGTGCTTGTGCCTCAGCCTCTGGAGTAGGTATTCACCACCTTACCTGACCTCAAAGAGCTTTTCTTTAATTTTGAATTTTGAACAAACTCGTTCATAATAGAACTTGAAACTAAAGCAACCTTTAACTTTTATTAGTGTTAGCCTACTCAGGATTTGGATTCATGAATTAAAAATGAGAGTGTTAAAAAAAGAGAGTGTTTTCCTGATCCAGTGTAGTTTATGCTATGATGATGATTTTACTTTTATATACTGTGATATCTAAGTCCTTTTCTTTATTTGAAAGCACCATATTACTTTGAATTTTACCATTGGAAGCTTGTCACTTTTTATTACTATGCTACCATTCAAGTAATAAATAGTTTTAGCTAGGAATTACCCAGTAAAGTTCTAGGTTTTGTGTACTGGTATGTTAACTTTACATCTAATGTGTTACAGTGTTTAAATAAAGTTGGGGTGCATGTGACAGTTTGTGTGTGTGTTGAATCATCTGTTGACTCAGCTTGGTTAGATTTATAGGATAAAATACTAGCCTAAGAAATTATCGTACCTGCATGAGATTAACATAATTAGGGGTGGTTTTCTTATGCATGTTTCTTTTAAAACTTCATGAGACACGTGAATATTTCCTAATACTTAAGGATATATTTTTATTTTCAAAATACTTGAAATGTGGCTGGATAAAAGCTTATTAACACAAATTGAATAACTGTAAATATAAACCTGTCCTATTAGATACAACATACCTAGAATTAATTTCTACTTTCCCCCCCTTTTCTTTTTGCCAACATAAAGTGGCTAAAAGCCAAGGTAAGAGACATTACTTATTTGACCCACAGTATTTCCTGTATATTGATAGAGGCTGCAGAACCACTAAAATCTGAAAAAAATGTTCTTATGTCTGTCTGCTTTTCCCTGTAGGATTTGTATAGATTAAGTTTACTCAAACTTCAGTTCAAATCAGCAACATTTAGCTTGGCTGTGTTAATATATTGAAGATATATTGACATTTGCATTTGTATAGGAACATTAATTTTGCTAACATTTATTGCTTTGCTCATTTTTTGTTAGTTGCCTTGCTTTCTTTGACTTACAATTAGGTTTCCCAGACTTCATATATCACTTTGTTACTGAATTGTCAAGATAATGATATCTTTCAAATGGGCATTTTACCAAATTAATAGTGAAATCTACAGCTAATATGTGTATCCTAAAAATTTAAGAAACATAATATTCGAGTTAAAAAAAAGTTTGATCTTAGTGAACATGTATACAATACAATAAAATAAAATCCAGTAAAGTAAAATCCAATAATCTTTCTTGTACTTGCCATAAATTGATAAAAATGGCACAATGGAACAAATCTGAGGGCAAGTGGTTGCTTCACATTTTAAAATGTATCACATTTTTAAAATGTAGTATCAAAGTCTTATTAAAACTGTCTGGGAATCCTTCACATCTGTTATTAAAAAAAATAATAATACATGTTAAAATACCAACAGAACAATTTGATATAAAAATACAAACCTTCCTTTCCACATTTTAGCATGGAAATAACCAGCCTGCAAGAACTGGCACACTGTCGAGAACAAATCCTCCTACTCAGAAACCACCAAGCCCTCCTATGTCAGGCCGGGGAACACTGGGGTAAGAATTGCTATATCAAAAGAAATGTGTGTGACCTAAGTAAATGTATGGATCCTGTCCTGAGACACCTGTTGTGTGGTACTATGTCTTATAAATAGATTTTGGTCCTTATTTTCCTGAGCAGAATCCAACATAAATTTATTTGTAAGTAGTCCCTATAGATGTCCATATTATAAAAATTATTTTTTTTTACCTGTAAATGAGCATCATTTACTTCTTTGCCTGCTTGCCTGCCTGCCTGCGTCTGTCTGTCTGTCTGTCTGTCTGTCTGTCTGTCTATGTATCTAATCTATCTCTCTCTCTCTCTGTCTCTCTCTCTCTCTGTCTGTCTCTCTGTCTCTCTCTCTCTCTCTCTATCATGGCGAGGTCATGCTATCCAATTCAGGATGGCCTTAAATTCACTATGTAGCCCAGGCTGGCCTTGGGCTTAGGAATCCACCTTCCTCTGCCTCCTGAGTGCTGGAATGACAGGGCCTCTCTAAGCAGTTTAGCTCAAGACTAGTAGTGATCCTCCTGTTTTCAGCATGTCCTTGCACTACCATGCCTGGCTCTGTTTTTCTATTGTTGTTGTTGTTCTTTTTCTTTGGTGAATACAATTGTGCTTTAAAGTTATTTTAAGAAGGTCAATGATTCAAAGTTCTTTCACATGTGTATGATGTCTTTTCCTGTATTTAGCAACGTTTATAATATAGAACTTTGGATAAGTGGTCTGCTTTGTGTAGTTTGGTTAGTATTCTGCAATTCTTGTCTTTCTCCTATTAAGTAGCACCAGAGACCTAGAATACTTGTTTTTTTGCAGGGGGGCTTTTTGAGACAGGGTCTCACTATGGCGTTCAGGCTGGCCTTGAGCTCATTGTAGCCCAGGCTGGTCTCAAATTCAAAAAGGATCCTCCTGCCACAGCTGCCTGAGGATTGGGATTACAGGTGTGCACTACCATACTCCACTGACCTGGAATACTTCTAACTCTGTATCCATTGGTAATCTTAGGCTCCCTTCATTCTAGAATAGTTTTGTGAGAAGACTGGCTAGAGAAATGGAAAGAGTATTGGGGGCTTTCTTCTTCCCAGTTCTCAGAGTTTCAAATACAGTGAATGCTTTCCAGGACATTTCTGAATGATTATTCATTGTAACACAAAAACTATATTATATTAGATTTTTTGTTTGGGGGAAGTTGATTTCAAGTTTTGGTTTTTTTTTTAATGTGTTTGGTATAGGGTCTCACTATGCATCTCTGACTCGAAGTAATCCTGTTTTCAGCCACCCCAGTGCAGGGATTACAGGTGTGCACCACCCTGCCTGGTCTCTGGCCTGCTTAGCACACCTGGGGTTGGGGCCCACTGGGTTTGTGGTGCTGGAGATTGAACCCCAGTCCCTGCGCTTCCCTAAACAGGAGCTTAGTCCAATGAGCTATCTCACTGGCCCTCAACAGTCTGTATTTTTTGGGTGGGACTGGGAATTAAACTAAGGCCCTTGTGCTTGCCAGGGAAGTGCTCATTTACTGAGCCATCTCCCTGGTCCCAACAGTCTGTTTTTAAAGAGAATTTTAGTTTTCACTTTTATCTTTAAACTCCTGTCTCTGAAAGAGAAACATGATATAGGAGAGTAAAAATCATGTGCTAAGAAATTAATGACATTGCTTCTAGAATCAGAATGTACTTCTCCATTATATTTCCATATTGAAGTAAAAATAAATTGCTGAGGAGATATGTAGCTTCCTGTGTAAAGGAATATGGCTTGTAGTTGAAGGAACTGGGAATAAAATACATTTCATAGTTTTATATTATTGAACATTAAAAAAAGTATAACAATGATTTTTAGAAAAATGTTAGAATTTTTCAATTACCCTTTCCTATGTTTTTCCTAATAAAAGGTAGTATATTTTAGTTTTTTGTGTTAAAAATAATAAAAGTCATATATTTCAATTAAGAATCTTTTAAAAAATTATAAACCATATTAAATAAGCATTTCTTTTATATGTAATCTCAAGGATAATCACAGATTTGGGGGAAAATGCTCTTTTATCTTTCTTATTTATTACCCTTTCTTTATTTTTCTTCTGTAGGCGGAATACTCCCTATAAAACCCTGGAGCCTGTTAAACCTCCAACAGTTCCTAATGATTACATGACCAGTCCTGCAAGACTTGGAAGTCAGCATAGTCCAGGCAGGACAGCCTCTTTAAATCAGAGACCAAGGACACACAGGTAAAATTTCAGGGTGAATATCTGAATATTTGAGTGTTAGTGATTGATGACAAACTCCTATAAAAGGAGCTGCATAATGATGAAGTACTACTCTAATGTAAATTAAATGTAAAATTTGACAGTAGTAATATATGTACCTATAAATTTATTATAGTTACTTGCTTTGTTATGCTTTTACAATATTAACAGATTGTTAAATGTTTTCTACTTTTGACAGATATGGATTTATATTTGGATTCATGCTAAAGAATATTTTTTAAATGGTCTTTCAAAAGGCACAAAGAGGGGCTGCATAATGTAGCTCAGTGGTAGATTATCTGCTTAGCATGCGTCTTGCTTTCAGTAAAGCCAACACCAAGTATCTAAAAATACTTAACAGTATTTTTAGACAAGGGGTTAAATACCATAAAAGTCATACCAGCATGATTTAAACTTAGGAGGTTGAAGAAAATATTTAGCTTATTTCTTGACTTGTTCTTATTTAACCTAGTTTTCTTTGATTGCCTTGTGTCTGCGTAGATATGTTAGAGGTTGTGATTACATATATTATTACAAAAGCATACAAGGACTCAGCTGTTCATTGTGTTTTTAGGAACTCAGTTGTAGAGCATAGTATCTTCAGAAAAGTACCAAGCTTGATAAGATTGAGATTGAACTCTCATTTTATTATCTAAAGAGAATACAAAATAGTTTATTTATATATTCATTTATTTGTGGAACTGGGGATTGAACTCAGGCCCTTGTGCTTGCCAGGCAAGTGCTTGTTCTACTGAGCCATCTCCCTAGCCCCAAGAATACAAAATAGTTTTAAAAAAATTAGAAACAACACAGAATTTTACCAAACAAAACAATAGAAATTCAGCAATGATTGCTATATTGTATAATGTTGTCTTCAGATTAGTTGTTTAGATTACCTGCTATAAGCATATGAAATTGGTTTTAAAAAATTAGGTTGAGCTCTTATGTAACCATCATCTGAATCAGAAAATAGGGAATCACCAAGAACCCACGAATCCGCCTCTTGCTCTTTTCCAATTACTGCCTGTTTTCTTTAGTGTAATGGTAGCCACTTTAAGTGCTTTTATAATATCAGACAAATTTTTTATGTAATCAATTTGTTTTTGTCTTCAGTTTTATTTCTCAGTAGCTTAAGCAAAGAACTTATTTTGGCTTGACTTTTATGTTGGCAAGTTAGAGCTAACTTACCAAAATTACGTTTGGTGATTCAACTAAATAGGGCATATCAGGCTGTTCGAGTTTAGGTATAATTGCTGTTGTTGTTAAATATTGTAGTGATATCTTTAGCTACTGTATCAGGGTAAGCCAAACTTTTTATTTTTACGTTTGTTAGTTTTGAATTACCAAAAAAAAAAAAAAAAAAATTTGAAGTGTGATTCCCCTTCCTTTTCTTTGATGAATACTGAGGAAGTCAAACTCAGGACCTCATACTTGCCAGGTAGGCACTGCCCTACTGAGCTATATTCCCAGCCCCCTGGTTTCCCTCTGTTGTAGAAATATTTTAATCATTAATATTAGTTTAATAATAGCTTAGTCATATTACTAACCAGTTATTAAGTTACTTCATTAGATATCAGGCATATAGCAAGAAAGGATAGTTGTTTTTTTTCCCAGAGCTCATTCTTAGAACAAGGGTCAACAAAATTTTTCTAGATTTTTCCAGATTGTCAGTATTTTAGGACTTGCATGTCACATTGTTGCAGTTACTCAGTTTTGTCTTTATACCACAAAACCAGCTATAGATGGTTAGTGAATAAGCACGGTTGTATTCCAGTGAAGTTTTTTATTTATGGCAGTGAAATTTGAATTTCATAAAATTTTGATGCGTTGCAAAATATTATTCCTTTTTTGATCCCGCCCAACTCTTTTGAATATGTAAAGTATGTTATTAGTTCATAAGCAATCAGGCAGTGGGCTAGTGTTAGCCCATGTACCATAACTTACCAATCCTTCTGTTAGAAAAAAGGCATTTAAGCTAGTAATTATAGAAGAACACAGTAAATACAAAAATATTTATATGTCTATGATGGTATAAAGTTGAATATTGATTACCTGGTTGGGGATTAGGGAGGAATTTTTAGGCTACTTTGTTATATCTATGGCTTTTCTTCCATTAATATGTGATAATCTGTGAATTGATCATATTGGAGGAGGAAATAAAAACTTTATCCAGGCACTGCAGGAACTTTCCTGAATATATTTTATTAGTGATACTAATTTTATAAAATGATGGATTTCAATGTGATATTTTCGTATATAAGTTTTTGATTCTATATCCTCCTTTGTATTTTATTCCCCTTAAGCCTATCCTCTTTTCTAGTAATAGTCTCTCTTATTCTTTCATGTAACTGTCCCCAAAGATTTTATATGTTGGAGGAAACGTGTTATTTGTCTTCCTGAGTATGGCTTCTTTCACTTAGCATGATGACCTGTGTCATTAATTTTCTGGCAGGTGGCATCATTTTGTTACTTTTTAATTTTTTAAAAAATTATATCTATATCTGTCTGTTTGTCTGTCTCTCTTTCTCTCTCTCTCTCTCTCTCTCTCTCTCTCTCTCTCTCTCTGGTACAGGGTCTCACTAAGCAGCTCAGACTTGTAGAGATCCTCCTGTCTTAGCCTCCCTAGTGCTGGGATTACAGGCATGTACCATCATGCCTGGTTTTGAACCCAGGTCCTTTCACTTGGTAGGCAGGTACGTAGACCATGAGCTGTCTCCCCAACCCAATTTTGTTCTTTTTAGCTGAATAATACTCCATTGTGCATAAATACTACTTTTTTGTTTATTCATCCATTGATTCACACTTAGGCTAGTTCTGTATCTTGGCTGTTGTGAATTATGTTACAATAAACATGGGTGTAGAGTTGCCTACAGTATGCTGACTTTAATATCTTTAAGTATCTACCAAGAACTGGTAATAGCTCCATTAAATAGTAGCTTTGATTTTAGTGTTTTGAGAAAACTCCATGCTGATTTCCATAGGGGCTGAGCTAAGTTACTTTCCCACCAGCAGTGTAGAGGTTTCCTTTTTCCCTTGCTTCCTCACCAGCATTCATTGCTTTTGTCTTCTTTTTTTTTTTTTTGGAACGGGGGCTTGAACTCAGGCCCTTGCACTTGCCAGGCAAGCACTTATTCTACTGAGCTATCTCTCCGGCCCTGCTTTTGTATTCTTGATGGCAGCCGTTGTTGCTTTGGTGAGATGGAACCTCAGTATAGTTTTGATTTGCATTTTTCTGATGGCTAAATGTTATACATTTTTTCATATACCTATCAGCCAATTTGTACTTCCTTTGGAAAATGCTTGTTCATTTCATTTGTTTGTTTGTTTTTTTACTTGCTCATTTTATTCGGTAGATGATTTGCGTTTCAGTGATAAGATATATGAGGTCTTTATTCTAGATATTAATCTTCTGTCTGAAAAGTAGCTGGGAAGATTTTCTCCAGGTTTTTTGGTCTTACTGTTTCCTTTGCTGTACAGAAGCCATTTGTAGTGCCATTTGTTAATTCTTGCTATTATTTCCTGTGCTGTTGGAGTCCTATTCAGGAAGTCGTTGCCTGTGCCTATAATTTCAAGTGTTTCTCCTATCTTCTTTTTTCTTTATTTTACTTTTAATTTTGTTGATAGAAGGTCTCGCTACACAGTGTAGACTCGTAGTCTGAGCCTTCTGTCTCAGCCTCCCTAGTGCTGGGATTACAGGTATGTGCCACCACGCTGGATTTCAGGACTGGCACGGCATACAATACTGGGGATCGAACTCGGGACGTTGTGCTTGCCAGGCAGGTGCTTAGACTACTGAGCCATTTCCCGGGCCCGTTTTCTTTTTGCAGTTGTAGAATTTCAGAACTTTATGCCTAGATCTCTGATCTGTTGATCCATTTTGAATGCACTTTTTTATTTTATGAAGAAATAAAGTTTTATAACAAAATAGCAAGTGAATATTAATATACCATATTATCTTCAAAGTAATTACTCAGAGTACAAAACATAAAAAGGGGGGAAAAAAAAAAGGTTGTCTTGCCAGGGGCATGGTTTCCTGCCTGGAAAGGGGGGGAAGGTCCTGAGTTCAATTCCCAGTACCAAAAAAAAACAAAACAAAAAGATTGTCTTTCACAAAGAAGAAACAAACAAGCAAAAAAAAAAAATAGCTCAAAGCTTTATTTTCGAGGAACTAAGAAAAACTAGAAGTGAAAATGATACCTGAGGACATTCAGGAATCATTTGTAGGAATGTTCATAATAGTAGTAGCAGCAGTAATGGCACAAATCTGGAGGCAAGCTAAATGTCAATTAAGAATAGAATAGATACAGACCCAGTCCTAGCCCAGATCCGGTGAGTGTGTGGGAGAGCTAACTGCTACCCTGCGCCGGTGGGACCAGTCGCAGCCCAGATGCAGCGTGGGCCAGACCCTCTCCCCCACCCTTGGAACACCCCCTACCACTCCGCAGCACCTCCCCCCCCCGCCCGCCTAGTAGGAATTTCTGCCATGTTCTGGGAACCCCCAGACCCAGTCCTAGCCCAGACCCAGTGAGTGTGAGGGAGAGCTTCCTCTACCCCCTACTCCACCTTGCCCCCCCCAGGCACAGCTCAGGCGTGGCATACATGCCTGGGGTGTCACCAGCTGCAATCCCTGCAGAGAGTGTAGAGGATAGATCCACCCAGCTAGTCCAGGAGCAGAACATCTTGCCACAGGGGTACAACAGGTTCACCCTCAAGGGCAGCAGCGGGAAGGAGCTGAGCACAGCAGCCAGACCCAAGCCAGGCACAGCTGGATAAGTCCAAACTTTGTAGAGCTGCACGAAGATCTACAACAAAGGTCAGAAGACAGTGCTACACAAAATGACGAGAAGGAACAAAATGCAACCTCAGAACCCAAGCCCACCCGTAACAAGTGCAGAGGACACTAACACAGAACAAATTGGAAATCACACAGCTGAAAGCAGTGAATCAGCGGCTTCTGAAATAATAGAATAGATAATTTCAGGAATTATTTGAACTCCCTACTTTGTATTTAGCTGCTTTTTTCCTTATTTGTACATCTACTTTTCATTTCTTATATAAGAGAAATCATGCAATATTTAAGCATGTATGCCTACCTTAACTTTGCTTAATATTACGTTCTCAAGTTATATCCATTTATGTATGAATGCCTGAAGCTTATTTTTATGGCAGTATACTACTCTGTTGTGTATAAATACCACATTTTATCTATCCATTCATCAGTTATTATATTGATATATAACAATATGTTTGTATATATATATATATATATATGCACACACATAAATTATTTCCAAGATCTAGCTATGCACTGTTGTAAACTTGGGTATACATGTATCCTTGTAATATAACTTTTTTGGGAAGATACCTAGAAGAGTCCATAGCTGGGTCAAACATAATTTCTGTTTTTAGTTTTTTGAGGACTCTCCACACTGACTTCCATAGCAGTTGTACTAGATTAATAGGTTACATGCCTACAAATAATGTAGAAGTGGGGGGGTCCTGCCCCTTAGCTCAGTTCTTTAAGTGGCTGCTTCAACAAAGCAGTAAGGCTCAGGTTGCTGTGGTTTGATCCCCAAAAACTCAAGCCAGCCAAACATGCCCTGAAGGCATTCAGAGCAAAAAAAAAAAAAAAAATGTAGAAGGGTTCCTTTTCTTTGTAGCCTCAATAGCATTTAATATTGTTAGATTTTTTTTTCTTTATTATTATAGTCATTCTTTCTGGGGTAAGATTATGTTTCAGTGCACAGTAGTTTTAATTCGTATTTTTTTAATGGCCAGCAGTGTTTTCAAGTTAAGTTCCTCAAAATGAAACAGTGAAAAAATGGGTAACTCAAATGAATAGAGGGTCAGGGGAGATAGCTCAGTGGAATAAGTACTTGTCTGGCAAGTGCATGGTCTTGAGTTTGATCCCTGGTACTGCAAACAACAACAAAAAGAAATGAATAGACACTTCTCAGAAGTACAAATGGCCAGTAAATACCTGAAAAAAATGTTGAACTGATTTTTGTGTGGGGTGAGAAATAGGGATCTATTCTCAGTCATACAGATACTGTTTTCCCAGTACCAGTTGTTAAAGATGCTTTCTTTTTTAAAACATATTTTGAACTCTTTGTCACGAATTAGATGACTCTGGTTGCATGGTTATGTTTCTTTGTCCTTTACTTATCCCATTGGTATACATGTCTGTTTTGGGCCAGTACCCTGCTGTCCTCTTTATCATGGTTTAGTAGTATGGTTTGAAACGAAGTATTGTGATGCCTCCAACAGTATTGTTTTTGCTTAGAATTGCTTTGGCTATCAAGGTCTTTTTCTGTTTCTATATGAATTTCAAGACTTTTTTTCTAGTTTTGTGAAAAACATCATTGAAATGTTGATGGAAATTACAATGGATCTACGGTTGCTTTTGGTATTATGGTCATTTATTTATATATATATTCCCCCCCTTAATTTTAGGGAAGAATCTGCAGGGTGTTCAGGGTCTTACTACTAGATCGGACTTGTAAGAGCTGAGATTACAGGCACCCACCACCATGCCCGGTCTCAGTTGCTGTGTCAGCATGGCCCAGGGGCGGGGCCGGCATGGCAGGCCTGGGGATCTAATCCCCCCCCGCGTTTGTGCCTGCTTGCAGGCACTTTAATCCCTGAGCTATTTGGCCAGCCCTTAATAATATTAATTGTAGCAACCCATAAACCTGGGAATGGTTTTGGTATTATAGTGTCATCTTCGATTTCTTCAATATTATGTAATTTGCACTAAAGAGATCTTTCATTTCCTTGATTAGGTTGATTCCTAGTTGTTTTATTTTCTTGAAGATATTATGAATGAAATTGTTTTCCTAATATTTCTTAGCTAGTTCATTATTAGTGTATAGAAGGAAAAGCTAGCTAGCTGCCTGTCCGTCTGTCTGTCCGTCCATCCATCCATCCATTTTTGAGACAAGAAGCTCAGGCTGGGCTTGAACTCACTCCAGGCTGGCTGAGAACTCACTGCAATCCTTCTGCCTCAGCCTCCCAACTGCTGGGACTACAACGTGCACCACCGCACCAGGCTTTCATGTTTTAAATGTTGATTTTTGCATTCTGCTGTTTTCTGAGTTTATCAGATCTATAAGTCCTTTGGTGGAATCATTAGTATCTTCTATGTATAGGGTCATATCATCTGATAATAGGGATAATTTATTTCCCTTATTATTTATATTTATTTAACATTATTTTTGCTTTCAATTTTACCCATTCGGTACTGTTGCCTCTGAGTTTGCCATATATAGCCTTTAGCATGTTGAGGCATGATTATTTTTATTTTTAGCTTTTTATTATATAGAAATACATTCTTTGAGTTTATTTCCCAAAGAGATAAGATCCTTCTATTCCTAATTCTTCAGGACTTTTATTATGAAGGGATTGTTGAGTTTTGTAAAAGCCTTTTTGAATCAGTTGAGATGACAATGATTTTTTTTTTCCAATTCTATATATGTAAGGCACTACAAATAGTAGTAACACAGCCCTTATTTACTTCACTAAGTATTCTGTTTTGTAGTGTTTATCATGCTATTTTTAAGTCTGTGTTTTCATGCTTAGCTAAATGTTCTGTGACAATGTTGTTAATGTCTGTGTTGTTCACTACTCTTCATAGGAAGTTCTAATAAAATGCTTGTCAACTCACTGCACTGTAAATTTTATTGTTCATGTATTTCTGGGATAGTTCTGAGTGCTGTGATATATTGGTTTCAGAAGTTGAGTAGAAGTGTAGTATGAAACACAAGAGCCACTTCGAGTATGAGAGTTAAGGCTTGTAATGAGTAATTAAAAACTTTCTGTACACGTACACCCTTTAGAAGGAGTAGGTGGTAGCCTTGTATTGATGCTTACAATTTAAAAATATCCCCAACATTACTTTTTTCACACATCTTGCCCTTATTTTCAGTGGAAGTAGTGGAGGAAGTGGAAGTCGAGAGAACAGTGGAAGCAGTAGCATTGGCATTCCCATTGCTGTACCTACACCTTCTCCACCCACTGTTGGACCAGGTATGTTATTTATTAATCCTTGTTTAATATAGGGCAGTACTTACGAGCTTTACTGTAAAAAGGTCATGTAATTTAATCATATTGAATAAAATTATTAATTTTTTTGACTGGTTAAAGTTAATAATAAATTTAACAGTGTTTTAGATTCATTTTCACAATGTATTTTAGACTTTCCCAGCTGCTGTTTCTCCTTACATAGTTTTGTGAAATAACTTTCTGGGCATTTTGCTTTAGAAATACTTGTTTTTATCAGGAGTCAAGAATGGTATTTATTATTTCAAGAGCAGATCAATGTTGTATGATACTACAGTCAAACAGTGAGTTTCTGTAAAGGTAAATTATGCTTGAAAGAAATTCGATGTTGCCTTGTAGGCTAACATCTAAATAATAGTGTTGCTTGTTTTTTGGCTTAACATTTAAAATGCAGTGAACATAAAATGAGAGTCAAACAGGAAAAGTTATTTTATTCTTTATAAAGTATAAAAATTAAGGTATATGTAGAGAATATTAAATTAGCCCCTGACTTTCAGTAAACAAAAATGCCAACTTTCTATAGTGTCAAGATGTATATATAAAGTATGATAATTAAAACAGTTGGGAAAAAATTTTTTGTTTCTCAAGCATATAGTTGTAGGAGAAAATGCTGTTCTGTTTATAATGGAGTTACAAGCTCAGTGGCCTTTTTATCTAGTAAAATCTTATTCATTTAAACGTGCTTTATATGTGGATATCTTTTTCTTTTTTTCTTCTTTCCAATACATTGTATTTTCCTACTGTTTCAGAATGTTTAGTTCTCTTTTCTTGCACTCTGACCTCAATTATAAACTATTTTATTAGAAAGCATTTCTGTCCCTCCTCCTCCTGGAGCTCCACCACCAGCACCTCTGCCACCGCCCCTCCCAGTGAGCACTGTGATAGGTGAGATTGCATATCCATTAGAGACCTTGAATTCATAATAGACTCCTGTGTAGCTAAAAGACTGATGGTTTTTATAGTTATTAGGTTGTAGATGATAACACAAAGGTTAGAGTATTAATCTACACTAATTTCTTCTGGCGAAATTCCTCTGAACTTATGCAGTAAATAATTATAAAATAACCTTTCATATATTATGAAATACTGCTTTGCGTGGTTTATAACCAACTAAATGTGGTTTTTCTTGTATTTATTTAGATTTTTCTAGCAGTAACTATTCAAATTTTTTAAAAAAAACAATGTAGACCCCTCTCACCTACAGTGAAACTTGATCCAGAGTGCTCTGGTCTATACAGCAGTTGAAGCCTTGGGGTGAAATTAGGGATAGGGGAGAAAGAAAGGGAAGTAATCTGTGGTGTGGGAGCTCTGATGATTTCCTGGGGGTTGCATTCTGAAAAACTCATATAGCCCAGTTTTATGGTATTTGAGAACTTGCCAAGAAACATGTTTTGCAATGAAACACATTTAAATTTTTTCTAAGTTGGGGAAGACGCAATTAAGCTTAGAAGTAGTTCCACATATATAGTTAATGTGGAAATCATTCAGCCTAAAAATAAATGTAGAAGTAGATAAGTTAGTTTGAGAAATAAGAGCTGAGTTTCAATTTAGGTGAAATAAAGCTACCCAACAACAACTTCTCAGAGCATTTATACATACATCCAAATAAAAAAGGTAATGGATTGGGCCGGTGAGCTAGCTCAGCATCTGCTTAGGCAAACACAGGGACCTGAGTTTGATCCCTGGCACCACATGCTGCACCAGCCCCACTTCCAGGGTGGGCTGAGCTGTCCACAGAGTCCCAGCATAGTGGCATACGTCTGCAATCCCAGTGCTGGGAAGGCTCAAAAACAGAAGGATCATTATGAGTTTGAGTTGCATAGTAAGACCCTGTAACAACCAAATACATTAAAAAAAAAAAAGAAATACTGTTTTCTGTTTGCTTCATAGATAAAATGGAGACATCTACAGACACAGTGTTGATAAGGATTTATAGTAACAGGAAAGCATAGAGCCACTGGGAGTCTTAGTTGATAAATTCACCTTGCAAAATAATTTGCTGTTAACTAGTCAAGTTGAACATGTACCTGTCCTAGGCTTGTTGATTTCATTTTGAGATGTTCACCTAAGCACGCTAATTCTCACAATATAATTAAGAGACTCCTAAAGGTGGCCAAGATCCTTTCATTGAGTCTGGAGGTCAGAGCTATATTCATTATTTATCTTTTTCTATTCTCATTGTTAGAAATGTACAATGGAATTTTCCAGAGGTTACAAGATATTGTTTTAATAGTTAATTGAATATGTAGTTATATATTCATGCGTTTCACAGATATATCAGTTTTAATTTCTAATGCAGCTCTAACATACCAGCAAAAGTTATTTGAAGTTATTTTGGTGGTGAGGGCCTTGTTTGTTTTGTTTGAGAAGAGGTCCTCATATGTAGTTCAGGCTAGCCTTTATTGGGTAGCTCATGCTGGCCTCAAACTCATGGCAATCCTCTTGCCTCATCTTCCAGTGCTGGGATGGGATAATGGCATGTTCCAGCATGCCTAGCTCTTGAGGTTGTTTAATTTCTAAGTGTGAACTCTAAAACCAAAAAGTTTGGAAGACCACTGTTTTAATATTTATTTATTTGATACTGGGTCTTGCTATGCAGTTCAGACTTGTAGTGATTCTCCTGTGTCAGCCTTCCTAGCGCTGGGATTATAGGCATGCACCCTCATGCCTAGTTTTGGGGCAGGCATGGTATTCCCAAGGTTCTGGTCCCATGTGGGATGCAGTATGGAGATCGAACTCGGATCCTTGCATTTGGCAGGCAGGTGCTTAGACTGCTGAGCTATCTCCCCAGACCCTAAACCACTATTTTAGAGCACTGGCTTTCAGAGTGCTATTTTCAGATTATCAGCACCCAGGAACTGGGTGGAAATGTAAGCTTTCAGATCCTATTTCATTCCAGACCTGCTCAGTTAGAAACTCTCAGATGGAACCCAGGAATCTGTATTTTAAGAAACCTTTGTGGTAAAATTCCAGTCATTGCTGCAGCTTAAGAAGTTACTCTGGGGACATTCAGGAACCATTTGTAGGAATGTTCATAATAGTAGCAGCAGTAATGGCACAAATCTGGAGGCAAGCTAAATGTCAAATGAGTAAATTATATATTCACATAGAAACAGTGTGGCAGGAATGAATAATGTACTTATCCACATAGTTAAATGTTAAAAAAAAAAATCAAAGGAATAGCAATTCAGTGATACTTGCATATCTGGATTCGTTCCATTGTAAAATCTTATAAATTTATAAAAACTATTCTTAAGGTTATATTACATGCATGTGTGGTAAAAACTGTATAGAAAAGAAGATTGGAATTCAGGAGAGAGCACACACAAAACTTCAGTGATGTTGTTAAACTGTGTTTCTTGAGCTGGGTTCTTGTCTCAGAGAAATACTTTATATACATGCATATATGTATGAAAATTACTATTCATCCGTGATTTTCTCTCCTTTTTTTAATAAAAGGTCTTGCTTTGCAATTCAGGCTAGCCTTGAGTTCATTTTGTAACGCACGCTGGTCTTGAACTGGAATCGATCTGCCTGCCTCAGCCTCCTGAGTGCTGGGATTACAGGCATTTGCCACCATGCCCTATGCATAAATGATTATAAATTAGTCATATACTCTTTGGCGTTATGATTTTTTTTTTTTTTTTGTATTTTAGGGAAGGGTCTACAGGGTGTTTAAGGTCTCACTACTAGATCAGACTCTTAGTGATCTGCCTGTTTTACATCCTTCCAAGAGCTGGGATTACAGGTGCACACCACCACACCCAGTCTCAGTTGCCATCCCAGCGTGCCCCAGTGACTGAACACCCCGGGTCCTGCACCTGCTAGCCGGCGCTTTAATCCCCTGAGTTATTCGGCTGGTCCTTGGCATTATGATTTATTTCATAGTAAAATATCAGAATAAATTTTAAAATAGGCATAGTTTGGAACTGCCTCACAATTAGTTTGGAATCAACTAGATTTACGTTTTTTTTTTGGCGGAACTGGGGATTGAACTCAGGCCCTTGCGCTTGGCAGGCAAGTGCTTGTTCTACTGAGCCATCTCCCCGGCCCCTGGAATCAACTAGAAAAATCACTTTGACATGGTATTTTTATACATGTCAGAAATATAAAAATTATTTTACAGATATTTCTATAAGAAATGACTGAAGATTTACTTATAGCTTTTTGGAAAACTGATCTGTCCACAATTCTTCATGAAGACTTTTAAATAGACTTATATTTAAATGTGTTTGTATTTAGAATATTAGTATGTATGTAGATGATTTGAATAATTGATGACTTCCAATAATTTAGGAATTTCAATTTTTGTGTGTGTGTGTGTGTGTGTGTGTGTGTGTGTGTGGAACTGGGGATTGAACTCAGGCCCTTGCACTTACCAGGCAGGTGCTTATTCTACTGAGCTTTCTCCCTGGCCCCTTTTTAAATTTTATTTTAATTAATTAATTAATTTATTTATTTTTGAGTTTCAGGATATTAACTATTCCCTAACTTCCTTAATGAACAACTTCTGCTATCTGGTTTTAATACCTTGGATGATCTCTAAGACAACTGAGTGAATATAAGCTAAGATGGTTCTTAATGTGTTTGAGTGGAGTAAGGAAGACAAGGTTAATGGTTTTTCTTTTTGTGGGAGGTGGGAGGTATTGAAAATTGAATTCAGGACCTCACTTGCCAGGCAGGCTGCACTGCTGAGCTAAATCTCTGGCCCGATAAGGTTAACTTTAATGTCAACTTTAGAGGTTTTTAATTCTATTAACCTTTTAAATATTAAACTCTTGGGCTGGTGAGATAGCTCAGCAGTCTAAAGCACCTGCTTAGGCAAGCTTAAACAAGCACAGGGACCATAGTTCTATCGCTGGCACCACATGCCACACCAGCCCTCCCTCCAGGACAGGTTGAACTTGCCACAAAAAATAAATTAATTAATTAAAAAAAAACTCTTAAGATGTTGATAAAGGTAACATATTTTGATCAGTTTAGGTATTGTTAATTTATGTAAGCATTATTATTATTTTTAAAAAGCATATTGCTTTGGGTATAATATAAAAGCTTTCAAGTAGCCAAGCATGGTGGCTCATGCTTATAATCCCTGCACTCAGTAGGCTGAGGAATAGCTGTGAGTTTGAGGCCAGCCTGAGCTACAAAGTGAGACCCTATCTCAAACACACACAAAAAATTAAATTACAAAAATTAGAAAGCCTTCAAGTAAGGGGAAAGAGGGCCAGGGATCTAGCTCAGCAGCACAGCACCTGCAAAAGTGGAAGGTCCTGAGTTTAATTTATGGTATCAACTAACCAACCAGCCACCCAACAAACCCAGTAAGGTTACAAGTATTTTATTTTATATATGTTCAAAAATTTTTCCAGTTTTGTCAGTTACCTCTAAAAAAGAGGAAAAAACACTGATGCTACACTATATAAGATACTTAAATATTTTTAAACTAAAAGTATATTTTGCTTTAAGATTATTTTATTGTAATATGTATTGATACTATTATTTGTAAAAATTAAAATAGTACTATTAAATATGGAAAGTAGGCTTAACAGTTTAAAGGCTGTCACTTAATCTGGATTTAGCCAGACTTAATAAGTGTTGTGAATTAAAACTGAAGATTTTGAAAGTGGGGAGGAAGAAGTTTTTAAACCAAATATGAATACATATACATGTAAAAACCTGAGTTTTACCCAGGTGTGGTGATACATGTATAATTCTAGTACTCAGAAGGCTAAAGCAGGGGAATCATTGTGAGTTTGAGACCAGCCTTGGCCACAGTCAGCTCAAGGGCGGCCTGCACTGTATAACGAGACTCTTGTTTAAAAAAAAAAAAAAAAAAGCTGGGTTTTTCATCTTACACTGTGGTATTTGTTTACCCATGCAATCAGTCCAGGACCCCAAAGAAGACCAAAATCCACAGATATTGTACTCAAGTTCCTTGTATAAAAAGCCATTGTTTCGGGATATAATCTACTCAGATACTCCCTTAGTACAATTTAAACCTTCTGTAGATTATTATCAAACCTAATACAATGTAAATGCTGTAGATAATTGTTATATTGTGTTGTTTAGGAAATAAGGACAAGAAAAAAGCATGGGTATAGTTTTTTCTTCCTGAAAAATTATATGTAGCATTAGCAAAGCACTGCTGTGGGTTACATTTTTCTGAATGGTTTAATAATGTTATATGGGAGCTTGCAGGTTAGTTCAGTTGTTTAAAGCGCCTGGGCAAACTTGGTCAGGCGCAGGGGACCATGGTTCGATCCTCAGCTCTGCAGGCTGTACCAGACCCACCCATAATAAGGCAGCCTAAGCCAGCTTCCCCCCCCCCCCCAAAAAAAAAAGAGTGTTATGTGTTTAATTTTATAGCTTTCCGTGTAGTAGCTGTTTTTGTTTGCTTTCAACTTGACGTAATCTGATTTTTATTTCTTTTTCTCTATTTTACTGTGGGCTTTACAAAGTAATAAATATTTCTGAGAGTTTCCACTTTTTGTTCTGTCACCTGAGGTGATTATAATGCTCAAATCTCTTTGTTGGTTGCCTTTGACTAAATGCTTTCCAGCAGCCCCGGGCTCAGCTCCTGGTTCCCAGTATGGCACAATGACCAGGCAGATTTCTCGACACAACTCTACCACTTCTTCGACATCTTCGGGTGGATACAGACGGACTCCCTCTGTGACTGCTCAATTTTCTGCTCAGCCTCATGTTAATGGAGGTCCACTTTATTCTCAAAATTCAAGTAAGCTTGTGTTTCGCAGGCATACAACAGTGGAGCTCCTTTTGAAGGAAATTATTTGAAACGATTATTCTTGCCAGTGATAGACAACAATTGAAACCATGCTATTTCATGTTTATATTTGCTTTAGAATTTTAGTGTTTGAATCATAACATTTTGATGCTAATTGCTTACCGCTTGTCCAAAATTCAGACTGAATATAGTATACTAAAATTTAACTGTTGCTTTAATATGCTATTCTCATTGCAGAAATATACTCAGAGAACAGAAAAAAATCGCTGAAATAAGTAAATTTATTTTTATTGGGTTGCTGTGTTAGTTTGGTGTAATGGTAAAATTAAAGACAAATAGTGTGAAAATTTACCTTTAAAATAATAAATGAAATTGCTGGCTATCACTTTTAAGGTCATTAACTTATACTGAAGTGAGTTCAGAACCAATTAAAAACATTTATGATGCTTGCTTAATTACTGTCTTCGAATACTTCTAACAGTGGGAAGAATTTTCTTTTGATTCCTTTCTGTTCATCTAAAATTGCACATCTCAATACTAATTGCAGTCGTTGTTCAAAGCTGTTAAGATGAGAACATAGTTTTTAGCATGTAATAGGAAATTTGAGGAGCTCAGGGTGGTCATCAAGTTCACTTTCCTTATTAAGATGCTTAATTCAAAAGGAAAAAGGTCTGAAATGCGCTGCTTGTCTAGTATTTGTCATTAGCCTAAGGCTGCAGTCACCAGACATGCAGTCACCAAAATGGGGCTTTCCGTATAGCTTCTGTAATGGCTTTCTAGAGCTGCACCCTGTCTGCTTAAGAACCAGTGTGAGAGCTGAGTGTGGTGGCACACGCCTGTAATTCCAGCACTCGGGAGCCTGAAGCAGGAGGATCGTTTCCAGTTTAGACCAGCCTGGGCTACAAAGTGAGCTCAAGGCCAGCCTGAACTACATAGCGAGACCCTGTTTCAAAAGACCGAAAAAAAGAAAGAAAGAAAGAAAGAAAGAAAGAGAGAGAGAACCAAAATCATGTTGGGGATTAAGGTCTTTTTAAAATTTATAATGTATGGCCTCAATCTGTATTTTAAGCAGTGCTAAAAGGAAAAAAAAAAAAAACAAAACAGTGCTAAAAGAAAACTCTTTCATTATTTTATTTATTTATTTATTTATTTATTTATTTATTATTTTGGTGGAACCGGGGATTGAACTCAGGCCCTTGTGCTTGCCAGGCAAGTGCTTATTCTACTGAGCCACCTCCCCGGCCCTCTTTCATCATTTTAAAAGCGTTTTAGTTAGAGGTTTACTGTTTTATAGCAAAAACTCCTAAAAGTTGAAAATACATTAACAAATGTCAAAACACAATGATGCCAAATTTATGCAACCTCTTTTCAAACTAAATTTTTCTTTAAAACTACTAAGAAAATTTTAAACTTTACCAGTTAGAATTTTACCTCTCATTTCACTTGGTCATTTTTGATGTTGAAGATAGCTAGTATTTGAATATTCCACAGATTAATAATTCACCTCATTAGTTTTATGAACTTTTCGTTTTTCCATATTCTGTATTTTTAGATATCATCTTTATTTTCATTATTTTTCATTTTTCCACTTAGACATTTGTTACTGTACAAGTAGGGTTATTTCACCTGTACATGTTTCTGTAATTTTATGTTAGCAATACTCAGTTATTTTCCAGTACGACAGTTTCATTAGTAAATGTCTACATTCTTTTGAATATTGGAAAGCAAAATTGGCCTCACATTTTTAATATATTGTGTTTTGTCTGGTTATCCTTCAATATGAGTTACTGTTGGTGTTGTAGTTTTAATAGTATATAAATGTTTTAGTGTTTTAATGTGCATATTTTTCTTTTTGTCTAAATGTGATGCAAATGATTAGTAGCTTCACAGTGTAGCTTTCTTTTTGTTTACATACTAACCAGCATGGCTAGTCACTAAAGGTTGTTTCTTTTAGAAAATTTAGGCTTGTGGGAATTATTTTTGAAAAACCAAAACCTCTCAACTTTTATTCAACAGAATAAAGAAGACCACTTTCTTAGTGAATTGTTATTTTTAGCCATAGAGCAAATTTAATGCACATATGCTGCTTTAAATTGTTGCTTTTAGAAGCCTGAACCTCTTTCAAGCATTTTATATTTACCACCAAAGTCCATGTAGTGGATTAATTGAAATAATTTTCTAAAAAATGATTCTTGGAAACTAGTAAATTGTTTTTCTCATCAGAGTAGTGGCTCTTATTAGTGACTACTTGAAAACTGAATTTTCCCATTTGGCCTTTCTTTTTCTGAGTCATCTTTGGCAGTTACTGTCCTATTAAAATGAGAAAAAGCAGTAGAACATGTACATGTGCATATTTCTAGTTTATATTACAGTTTTTACAACAATGGCTGCCCAGATAAGCATTTGCTATGTTTTCTATACATTATGTCCTTTTCTTGGAAGAAGTTGAACATTTCAAGCTAACTAGTTAACTTTTTAGAAATTAATGACAGAATTGTAAATTTTAATTTATTCATCAGGTTTCCTGTTTTCAAAACAGTGATTAAAAAGCTCATGCCTGAGAAACCTGATCCCATGAAACTCTGAATAACTAACATGGTATAGGGAGCATTGTTACTCCTTAGCAGTATCTTTAAAAATAAAATTGCCAAGTTAAGTTTTACAAACAAAGGGTTCTGTTGAGCTGTGTATAAAATTAAATATATTAGAAATATTTGAAAAGGAAACCTGTAATACATTTATTTGTGTAATCACATATTATATTTTATTTTGTTCTACTTTACAATAAAAGCTGGACAGTCTGTTACTTTATAGAGTTATAGCATAATTATGTTCTAAAAAAAAAAAACAACATTCTGGAAACCTCTGTAGGTATTTCAGTTTTAGGTATTTTAGAAGTGTTTCTTAAGAGTTTGAAATTGCACTGAAATGAATATAATGGTAAATTTAAAATTTCCCCAAATAAAATATAATAGGATTAAATTAAATATATTTCGGTGTTTTTAAAAATACATTCAGCTAATTGGCTAAGCACACTTGGCCTTAGTTTGGCTTTGGGGACATGAACTTGAAGAAAGTTCTTCAGGTTTTTGTTTTGTTTTTTGTTTTGTTTTGTTTCATTTGCAAACTGTTCTTTGCATACTTATGTTTGTGGTCTTTGTAACTGACTTCTGCTTTTTGTTTGTTTCCTTTTCTTTCCTTTATCTGTTTTACTTCCCCTGCACTATGTCGTTGCTACCAGTTTCTATTGCTCCACCCCCTCCCCCTATGCCTCAATTGACTCCACAGATACCTCTCACAGGCTTCGTGGCCAGGGTGCAGGAAAACAGTAAGTTTGGGAAAACTGAGCTATCAAAGAATAGAGGCTGTTTCCTTATAGCATGCATGGCTGATGAGTCATTTTTCTTACTTTTATTGAGAAGCTAATATTATCTTGAAAATAGGTGCAGATATGTTATTGAAACTGAAGAGCACGGTCTTCAGTTTTTTCTCTTGTGTGCATGATTACTGACTCGTATAAATTTCAAAACTGCAGCTTTCTTAAGTATATACATGACCTAAAACCTAAGATCTGATCTTTGCATAATACAAATTGTATAGAAACTCCCACTTTTAGTAGTTACCAGAGAATTAGAAAACATTTTTTATAACAAATTTATTTTTTTCCCATAATTTTATTGAGAAACAAATAGCAATGAAACAGTTTCAAAGCATACATTCTTCCTAGTGGTTATATAACAAATTTATAAAGATACATTATGAGATTAAATTTATTAGGAAGCTGGTACAGATCCCCCAACCCGTTTAATTATTTCCTTTTTGTTGTTTTCATTTTCTTTTTGAGATTATTTCATTACGCAGTTTGGGCTGGTCTTGAACTCACTTTGTAGCCTATGCAGGCCTGAAACTCACAGCAATCTTCCTGCCTTAGCCCTCCAAGTTCTGGGATTACAGGTGTGTGCCACCATGCCTGGCCTCCCTCTTTAATTATTCCACTGAGCCATCTCCCTGGCCCCCTCCCTCTTTAATTATTTTAAAAAAAATTAGGGAAAACTTGTAGCCTCAGGTTACTATACATAAATGAATTTAAACCTAGATAAAGATAGCTCTGTAGAGTAAGTGCTTGCCTGGCAAGCGCAGGGTCCTGAGCTCAATCTCCAGTACTGGGGGAAAAAAAAAACAAACCTCTATAATAAATAAATTGTATTCATGCTATCCATTTAATGTTGAATGATAATGAACATAGACCTCACTTCATAATATGGCTACATACAGGCTGAAAACAGTTATTTCTTTTTCTTTTTTTTGGGGGGGGGTATTTTTAGGGAAGGGTCTACAGGGTGTTTAAGGTCTCACTGCTAGATCTGACTTATAGTGATCTGCCTGTTTACAGCCTCCTAAGAGCTGGGATTACAGGCGTGTATCACCATGCCCAGTCTTAATTGCCATCCCAGCTCGCCCTGGCACGGTAGGCCTGGGGATCGAACCCCTGGCCCCTGTGTCTGCCTGCAGGCACTTTAGTCTGCTGAGCTATTTGGCTGAAAACAGTTATTTCTGAATATATAATCTGTCAACTCTTTCAGTTTTTCTCTGAATGAAGATCAGAGTTAATGAGTATTGTCAGTTATTTCTAATAGAAGGCTTTAATCAGGTTAGACTAGTTTATATTACTGCCTGATTAACTTTGAGGTTCCAGAAAACATTTATTCTAGCTACATGATCACAGTGAGTGTTGTGTGGTAAAAAGAAAAATAATGAATTGTATTATGCAAAAAAAAAATTGCTGAAATTGAGATGGTAATGTTATATAATACTAATCTACTTCATGTGGACCTCTTCATGAAAATAAGTTTGTAAATGGTTTGAGCAGGTGGGGAGCACATGTGACCAGCGTGTTTTGTAGGAGAACATATTGTGGCAGCTTTGGCTGCTCTGTTGTGTTACTTTCCCCATTTCCTGCCTTCCACCAGTCAAATATTTGTATTTTCAATATTATGTGTTAGGCTCTGAGAAGAACACAAGTAATTTAAGACAAAGTCCTTGCTTTGAAGAAGTGTATGATCTATGGGTTTAATAGGAAGCATTAGTTTTAAAATGTTGAAGTTTTTTTTTTTTTTTTCAAGACGGGGTCTTGCTATGTAGTTCTGCTAGCTTTGAACTCACTTTGTAACCCAAGCAGGCCTTGAACTTGTGATCCTCCTGCCTCAGCATCCTGAATGCTGGGATTACAGGTGTGCATTACCACACCTGGTTAAAGTGTTAAAATTTCTGAATGTAAACCTTCCTTACTAAGTATTCACTGCTACTTGGAAATTCTGCCCAAATGTTTAAAAATAAGTGACATTTATGTTTAAAAGTCAGGAATTAGGGTAAGTCACTGGTGCTTAATGCTGCAACAATTTAAAAACTAAGTCACAAGCCATTTAGGCTTATTGAATGCTGTATTGCTAAGAATTATTAGCAGATACCTTAAAATAGTTGCAATTGATCAGTATTATGGTTCCAAGGCTCATTGACTTATTTGGTGACTCTCATTAATAGAAATCAATTAGTAACATGCACAGTACTTCCGAGCATCCATGCACATTGCTAAAAGGCCCTTGTACAGCTATTTTAGTTCTTTTTATCAAAACATGTGAGTTGATTATTCTCTTTACACCACAGTTTCTCCCTAGTTTATTTGACATATATTTTCTTTGAAATCAAGTTAAGGGAGTTGATAATAAACTATATCAGTACTTTAAATGGCTTTCGATGAACAAATTTGCTGTCTTTAAGATACCCATTTTCTTTGGGTCTCAAAGTGGGTGATAATAAATGCATGTAATGTTTAACTTACTAACTTATTAATAAGTGTTTTGGGTTAAAATGAGCCCCTTGCAGTTTCTTGAAATTTGTATCATTTAAAATTTTTTTTCTTATTTATATTTTCTTTAAAAGAAAAAACACAAGCCTCTGACTCAGCAGTGTGTTAGTATTCCTTTATAATGTTAGTAAATTAAATGTGCATAATGCTATGTGGTATTATGCAAAGAAACGGACTGAACTCCTATCATAATATGAAAATAAGCCAGTGTTGATGTACAGTAGTTGGACATAAAGATATTTGTGTGAAAACACTGAGCTAGTAAGTTGTTTATAATTGAAAAGCAATGGCCATTTAGGCAAGTATATGTGACCTATAAAGCCAAGTTAAAGACATGAGTTGTCGCTATTTAATGTGGGGGTGGTTTCATACCTATTTTCCTTTCTTCATGTTAGAAAAATCGGTGGAGGAGGTATGGGCAAAAGTAAAAGAGACACATATATGTTGTAGAAAAATCATATACCTTTAGACAGCTATTAGAATGTACATCACCATACAGAATTTGTCTTATTCTTTTCATCCCTAAGAGTCCATAGAAATCACACAGTTGAAGTGGTGATGGGAGTATGCCTATTACCTGCAAATGTTTTAAATTGGAACCTCTAGAATTTTAACACATTATTCCAAGTCAGGTGAAGTAAAATTTAAAAACTTCTATCAATTTGTATATTCTTTTATTTTTCTTTTGAACTTTTAAAGAAGTTTGTAAATCAGAAACTTAAGCATGAGTTGTGTTTTGAATTGCTTAATTTTGGTGCACTTATTACTTGGTATTACAACATTTCGGTCAAAATGGTTTTAGTTGTTCTCCCATTTTATTGTAAATACTTTTGGTTACTTAAAAGCACAAACATGTACTATGGCCATTCAGAATTAGAGGTATGATTCATTTTATCACTTTTAAGTTTTTTTATTATTATTATTACATTTTCCCTCCTTAAATCTTAGTTAGGAAAGTAGATCCTGAGCCAGGAATATAGCTCAGAAGCACAAGCACCTGCCTGGCAAGTGCAAGGTCCCAAGTTCAGTTCCCAGTACCAGAAAAAAAAAAAAAAAAGTGGATCCTTCTTTAGAATCTGATCTTTCCCTTATCTCATGCTTCTATTTTATCAGCAGTAATGCAAAAATCTTACCTTCCTTTCAACAGTTAAATACAAAATTAATTTTGTATTTAAAGATTTTCCACTAACTGGAAATTTTACTTAATTTTTGTTAAATAATACAGTAGGAAACCTACATGCACAAGCTAGACCTGCTGTTACCAACTGTTTCTCTCCATCAGAACAGTGAACAAAAATATGCCCACTTAAGACTTAGTTTTCTAGGTCACAAAAACTGGTAAAAAGCCAAAATCTGGTATGAATAAACACAATAAAGAAACTATCAAATCATTAATATAATAACATTTATTGTAAAGCAAATAACAAATATGAATAAGATTTATTTTAGACAGTCTTAAAGAGTGACATTTGTTTTAACTTGAGCCTTGGAATAAGGAAACTTCTATAATCTTTATTTAAAAAAAAAGATATTGTTTCCTAACCTCTTCCATCCGTTCATTTTTTAGTATTGAAATCCTCATTTTAAGCTCATTTTAATATTGCAGAATTATTACAAGTTGCATAAACTTTTAACACACCAAACTGTTACTTCTAATCATTGCATGTTTGATTGTAGTGCATGCTGTACTTTAGAGCTTTCTTACATTTTGTTAATTTATAAATTTCCCTTTAGACTAATTTCTGATTCATATTGTCTGAATCTTTTTAGTTGCTGATAGCCCAACTCCGCCACCACCACCTCCACCAGATGACATTCCCATATTTGATGACTCTCCCCCTCCACCACCACCGCCCCCAGTGGACTATGAAGATGAGGAAGCTGCAGTAGTTCAGTATAGTGACCCATATGCAGATGGGGATCCTGCCTGGGCCCCCAAGAATTATATCGAAAAAGGTAAGGTACCATCCCTCATCATAGCATTGATGTGAGGTCAGTACTTAAAGAGTTTTAGAACTTTAGAAAACATTTACTCCTGTGTTTTTGTTGCCCATTTTAATGTAAGAATTAAGAATCTTCATAAAAAGTTGGTTTTGTTGTAACACTATAGATTTAATTGGCATAATTTAAAATTCAATTAAATACTGGATGTAGAGCACTCACGTGATATTTCAATTATTGTCTCCACAGTTGTTGCAATATATGATTATACAAAAGACAAGGATGATGAGCTGTCATTTATGGAGGGTGCAATCATTTACGTGATAAAGAAGAACGATGATGGCTGGTATGAAGGAGTCTGCAATTGAGTGACTGGTCTCTTCCCTGGAAACTATGTTGAATCAATCATGCCCTATACTGATTAATTTTTTTTTTTTTGCCTTTGAAGTAGAGTATTACTCATACTGTGGGACTATTACGGTTAACAGAGTTGTCTTAATGTTCTAAAATGTGCCCATATTTTCAGGACATGCTGTCTATTGGTATATTTGAATGTCCACCTGTAAGCATAAATCTTTGTGGCAGTTTGTATTTTGCTAAACAGCAATTTATACAAGGGGCTGCCCATAAATTATTATGCTTATATACTTAAACATTGTTAACTTTATGACCAGCCTAAATATTCTGGGGAAGTGGGATATATTTAACAAATCATGATTTAGACTGTACATGTTTCAGTGCAGCATGGTTACTAATGCTATGTCAGACTAATATTAAAATCAGAAAACCTAAATGCTGGTGCTGGTCATACTTTCTGTTTAGATTCTCTCATTTTTAAAAACTGTTTAAAGCATGCATAAAAATTTATTAAATATACTTAAAAATTCCAAGATGCTTCCAATTTATGTACTACTTTCTGGAGTACTCATATTAGATGAGTCGCTAAGGTCTTCTTGTGAAACAAACAAAAAAATTATCTTGTAATGTTGTAATTTGTAACTTAAGTTTTTTAAGGAGTGAATTTGCATTATAAATTTTTCCATTCATAAATACATAAGTGAACCAAAGGTTTTTGTCCTTTCCTTCACTGGTTTGCTTTTAAAAATAGAAAAACTGACTTATTACAGAATTATGGTTCTATTTTCTCAATATATTAACTTCAAAAAAAATTTTACCCTTATCTCAGTGTGTCCCAATAGTAACGAGACGGATATTTGCAGATTTGAAATCTGAGATTATTTACAAGTCAATCTACTGAATTCCTTTTTTAAAGTAACTTTTGAAGCTAAGTAAATGTTTCAAAGTATGCACATCATTCTCTAGGTAAAATTATTAAGGAATGCTATGGTAGTCCTTCAGTTTTACAGTAGACTGTTGTACACTGGCTCAATAAAAACTCATAAGCATTTTTTTACATATCGTAAAAGTGGATGCAATTAATTTGTGAATAGGCATTATTTAATCTATTGCCTGGCACTAGCAATGTAAGATTTTAAGATAATTGGGAAAGGTCAGTGAACATCAATATGCTTAACCAACAGATCTGTCTTTTGACATCATTGAAACGCAACACATGCACTTTGTGTGTCTCCTTTTAAGGGAGGATTAGCCGGATTTTTTTCTCTTTTTATCTTATGTGTAATTCTTTATTGCTTAGGATACTAAAGTAGAGCACTCCAGTGTGGGGTTCTGTGTATTGAGAATTTATTTGGATTTCAAATTTCAGTTATGTAGTGGGTGTTACAAATTTAACAGCATTGTGAATGGTGAGACTAGTGCAAAACATTTCTGAAAATTAAAGACCATTATTGCTATCAAATCAATGTGACTGTTTCATACGCATTTTACCTTTAATTTTAAAGTATCATTAGTGATCAGCTAGCTACCTTCTACTTCCCTTTTTCAAGTTGAATGTTTTCTTAATTTGTATATAATATGTTGTCCAAATTTTATGTATAATCTTTTTATAATAAACCATTCTCTTATGTTAAATGTTGCATATTGTTAAAGTATAAGTAATGTCAATTTCTGGTGTAGACTTCACAATTTTTCTGACCTGACTCTCATGTTGAAACAAGAGAAAACAAGCCAAATGAATCTGAACATTGATTATTTATTGGTGCAATGGCTTTACATGTGGCTATTAACCCTGTAAACAATACCACATATAATCATCAAGATACCTCGATTAGACTTTATAGGACTACAGTGACAGATTCAGGTGGTTTAATTACATTTAAAAAGTTTTCTGAAAAACTGCCAATAAGAAAAAACTGCCCAACAGTGAGGTTGAAATGATTTTTGGTTATCTGCACATGAAGCAAACAAAATGTATTCCATAGATTTTTTTTTTTTTAGGCACAGTCTGGTAAAATAGCTGCCAGAAAGAACAGAAACAGTCATCATTTTTCTCTTGTGAGTACAATTTCTGAAAGCTGAATGAGGGCGTCTCTCTCTGGGGACGGCCGGAGCTTACTGATTTCCCGTATTGCTTCGTGACAGTACTGCTGGGCGAGGTAGGTTGTTTGCTGCACACCATCACTCTGTGCAGAGAACAAAGCAGAACAGATGTCATGACTGGATTTGCTCTGAAGTTCCTGCTACAGTGCATTAAATCATACTTTTGAGGTCAGATGAGCTGAGGGTGAGTCACACTGTTAACAGCCAAACTATGTTTCTGATGTTCTCTTTTCAACTTACAGTTCTGACTTCTTCTGCCTGCTACTTTTAGCATTTTTTTAATTGAAGCAAATTTTTTTCTATTAGCGTACAAAGAAACTGACTCATTAATATCAAATAGCTATTTTCTATTTTTTACTTACATAATTGAGTTTTTCAAAATTTAAACAGGATGTGGTAACATACACTTGTAATCCTAGTGCTCTGGGATGCTGAGGCAGAAGAATCACAAGTTCAAACCCACTCTGGACAACTTAGTGACACACTGTCTTAAAATTAAAAAAGGGCTGGGCATGTAATTTAGTGCAAAGGCCCTAAATTCAATCCCCGGTACCACAATCACAAAGGAAAAAAAAATCATTAAAATATATACCTCTATATAGAATTCTATGTAACAGAATTTAAAAAAACATAAAGCATTTTCAATAAAGGGCTAATGATGAAAATCAACAGTTCCTTTTCCTGAAAGCACTAGCCTTCTCAGTTATTTTTCACTTACCAATTGTAGTTATGTGTTACCTTTTTAGAAGGAAGATTTGGCTCACTCACTGTGCCTAATTTGATCATTACATTGTTGTCTTTAGTGCTTGTTAATTACCTTTGTCATCACGTAGCATCAACGATCTTTGTAAGATGAGGAGGCTATCAGTGTTCTTGTCCTTAACTGTGTACCATTACATTCTAGGCATTTGCATTCTATTCTGTAATTATTTTCAATGTTGATTCTTCCTAAAAGCTGGACATTAATAAAATACTTATTTCTACGGTGTAAGATACTGTGGAATGAAGTCACACAGTATAATTTATTTCTGTCTCCATGGTGTGTGATCCCACTGTCTGTTTATAGAGTAAAATATTTCTAACATGTTTGAAAGGCTTCTGGTTTCTTTATGCTTTTCCAATTGTTCAAAATAATGACATTTTAAGTTAGCTATGTCTTTTTGTACAGAGGCCTGCCTTTTTCTTGTTTCTATACATTTTGCTGAAGTACACTCACTGATAATACCCAGAAAATATGTACAGGACATGAACTCTTCAGTCCTCCTGTAGTAATGACTTGCATCTGCCTTCAGTGTTAATGGCTGATCTAACAGTGTGCAGGCCTTGGCTGGAAATGTTTCTGCCCCGCTGCTCTGCAGCACCCAGTGTCTGCCATCCAGTGAGCCAGTTCTAATCTCTTCCTTTTGTTAGGGGACCACTTTTTGTTCTGTGCTTAAAATATTGTTTCAGCTTTTCTTTAGAGTCGATTTTTCAGTCATTTATAAATTGAGCCTGTTCTTCTGAGTGAAATTTATATTTTATTAATACCTTGTTTTATGCATGCCATATTTTTTGTGGTCTTCCTATTTTTATTTTTCAGTCTATCTTGGGAGTTTTGTTGTTGTTGTTGTTCAGCAAGCTTTAAATCAATTCTAGCAGTACTGAATTACCCATCACATTAGGAACAGGGTCTAGAAGCTGGAGTTTAGAGGGACTACAATATGGAGGCCTTTGGAGAACATTTCTGTGGATTTTTTCCCTAAGTGCTTTTCTGGTTAGGCCTGCTCTAGCAAGACAGCAAAGGAGCTTCTGTACAAAGAAGCACAGCAAACTAAAGTGCCATATTTTGACTACTGTTGCAATATTTTACATGAGGTATAATTTTCCTTTTTTTCCCCAGTACTGGGGATCAAACTCAAGACCTTGCACATGCCAGGCAGGTACTTAGCCCGCTGAGTTATCTCCTGGTTCTAATTTTCCTCTTTTTAGTCTTGCTTCCTACTCCAGCCTTTTGGGTCTTTGTAACCATGCGTTCAACCAGAGATTAAAACTACGTTTTTAAAAGTTATGTCTATTGAGCTGGGCATAATGGTGAATGCTTATAACCCCAGGACTCTGGAGGCTGCAGCAGGTCTGCCATGAGTTTAAGGCCACCCTGAACTGCATTTTGAGAACCTGTCTCAAAAAGACCAACAAACAATGAAGTATCTACTGAACACGGGCAGACATTTTTTCTTTCTGGTCATTATTAATACAGCATTTACAGTGTAGGGGTAGATTTTGTAAGTCATGTAGAGATTTAAAAGTATATGGAGGATGTGTATATAGGTTCCATGCACATGGCATACTGTTTTAGAAGGGGTTTTATCAGCCATGGACTTGGGTGCCTACAGGGTAGGATCTTGGAACCAATGCACTAACATACTGCAGGATGGTTGGCACATTCTTTCTGAAACTAGAACCTCAAGGGTTCTTCATCGGTTACAGCACTATCTTTCACTGGTTTTTTATAATCCTGCCAAACCACCCTATGACACACAACCATAAAAAGTGAGTTAAAACAAATACATCCTTTGAAAGAGTTTTGGTTTTCATAAACTTTTTATACATCTTTCAGGTATTACAAGGAGTGTGGATCTCAGGCCACATACAATTACTGTTTGCTTGCTTGATTTAATTCACTAACTCTGTAGCCTTCTGGTAACTGAATCTGAAATAGTTCATTCTCAAAATGTAGTGTTCCAAGCTGAAACTATGCAAAACGATCTTGTTTTAAAGGAAAAATTGAGAAAATAGATGGCAGTTTATCTCATACACCTGGATCCTGAACAGTTAAACCGTTCTCCCTTTAGAACATTCATATAAATGTTTAGTTGCCTATGAGCATTTCTTTAGTCAATCTTTATATAACTTGTATCGGATGGAGTAAAATTTATAAGTAGATCATTATAATAGCCTTGCTATAGTAAGGCTAAGGATTTGGACTAAATTGGCCAGTCTAGGTACCTGAGGACATAGTAGTGCAGACAGATGTGGCTAACACTGCTTCACAGCAAAGAAACTAGTACGATGGGAGTCTTGCCCCAGGTCAGTTACATTATTTGGGCAGTATTGTAGAGGTGAATTAAAAATGAAAAAAAATTTTTTTCCTTCTGTTTTGTCAAAAAGACTAGATCTAGTCTTGTCTGATTTTTAGCTAATGTTACGTATGTGGTTTTTGTCACATGATACCTGACACTTTTAAGAAATAATCTTACCTGTAGTACGCATTGTCGAGCTCTGTCCACGTCTCCTGGCAAGCTGAACCGTCTCATTATCATAGCATTCATTTCTGGGAACTAACCATAAAGAAATTTTATTGTTCTAGGAAGAAGTGTTTTCTCACTAGTTTGTAACAGGAAGTAACAATTTTAAAAATCCCAAAAGATGTCTTAAGTGGCTAGAGGATACTGGCTGAACTGTAGGATTAAAGAGGCTGTTCCAGCAGAGATCCCCACTGTCTGTGCCTAGGGGTGGCAGCAGTGCCCAGAATGGAGTTGCCACTGGCCCTGTCATTCTGGTGCTCTGTTCTCTCCTTTGTCCAGTACTGAGAGGCAAGAGGAACAAAGTCCCTCTCTAAAAATCTCACTTGCCATTCAGATTTTGAAACTTTATTGTAGGTATCCAACCCCATTTTGGAATTCAGTAGAAAGGGGCCAAAGCAGGCATCTCTAACAAATTCCTAGATGCCTCTGGTTTATAGCAACATTTGGAGACCCACTGACCTAGGATGAGGGTAGGAATCTAACATTCTGTTTGAAGTATTAAAACTGAAGAGCACTAAAAACTATGGGTTACTGAACAGGGCATGAACACAGCTGGAGCAGTGTGGCTTGATGCAGCCACATGAGAGAGCTAAGATATGGTTGCCTGTACCCCACTCCCAAAGATTTGGTTCTGCTTTCTTGGAATTTAGCCTGGGAACCAGGATTTTTAAAAATTCTTAGGTATTCTTAATATGCTCCCAACTGAATTAAAGGAGAGGTAGGTAGATGTATCACCTGGCTACTGTAGTGAGGCAAAAGACCAAAAGTAAGCTGATGGTAATTAAAGGAAGGTACAAACATTAAAAAGGAAATTTGTATTCTACAGTATTTAGTAACCATTTTTATTCATTTTAAAAATGTATTTGGTACAGGGTCTTGGGCTGGTAGTGATCTTCCTGTTTGCAGCCTCCTCAGTGCTGGGATTACAGGCTTGTGTCACCCTGCCTGGACTTGAGACGCAGCATGTCTGGGGGAGGAGCCGGCACAGCATGTGGTGCTGAGGTTGAGCCCTGGTCCCTTTCTTGCCTAAGCAGGTGCTTAGTCCATTGAGCTATCTCGCTGGCCCCTCAGTAACTATTTAGAATTATCACCACTAATAAGAAACTAGGACAATAGATCACTTCCTCAATCCAAGCCCAAGTCCTGATTCTGCCAGCAGCTACCACCTCTGAGTTCCTTATCTCTAGTGGCTCAGCCTCATTAGCCTCAGGACCTCAAGTCCTTGGTTTCTAATAATAGTCTGTAGTTCCATGGAATAAGAGGTAGGAGGTGTTTGGTCTCAGACACATCATGCTTTAAAGCAGTTGCCAGTTCTTCCCTCGAAGAGAGCCTGAATGATGAAATAAACTGTCCTGTAACTGGTGCCATGGTACAAGTGATGCTGGGTGAAAAAACAGGAGACACAGGAAACCTCACCCACTGGTAGCAACATTTGGAGACCCACTGACCCAGGACAAGGGTAGGAATCTAACATTGAATTATGAGAAAGGGTAGGAAGCCTCACCCACTTGTTAGGGCAAAATATATTAGAGTATGTACTCCTGTCCTCGCAGACCACCATCCTGTGTTTCTGCACCAGACCTTTCTGTTCTTGGAATGAAGTCTCTGTCCAGCGATTTTCTACCTACTGCAGTGTCTCTTATCCAGTCTTTGCATGATTTAATTTCTCCTTGTTATTTAGATGTACTTAACATGCAGAGACTACTAACATTACAAAGAGTTTGAGCAGCAGGCAACTGGTTAGTTCCCAAGTGAAAAGGAGCAGTTTAAGCAAATACAGGCCAGGGAGATGGGTCAGTGGAATAAGCGCTTCCCTGGCAAGCGCAAGGGCCTGAGTTCAATCCCCAGTCCGCTGTAACAGAAACAAATCAGGAAAACCCCAGTCAAAAAATGTTTGTGGGACTTGGGAAGATAGCTCTGTGGTCCAAGTGTACTGATCCTGGAATCCTGGGTGAACCTGCCAGTCACTGAAACCAGGCGTGGTAGTGTACGCCTGAAATCCCAGTGCCGGGGAGGCTGAGGTAGGAGAGTCTAAGCTGTATAGTGAGACCCTGTGCCAAATAAAAGACTAAAAATAAATTTAAGAAAATATTTTGTGGTAAAAAGCCACATCAGATAGCCATTTGCTTTAATTTTTAGAATACCACATCCCCAAACTATCTTTACAGCTCACATCTTGTCCTGAGCACCTACTAAAATTACCTTATTTATAGTGTGGCAAAACATGCTGATTTTTAGTATAAAAAGCATTGAGAAAGCAAAATTTGAAATGAAATTTGCATTGCATGTAACTACAATTCTGGAACAAAAAGTATGCAGTTTTAATATGTCAAACTTCCTGGAAACATTCTCTCAGCTCCTTAATGGGTATGTGAAGAAGTAAGAAACAGGAAGAATAATTGCTTGCTTATAGATTTAGTGAGAAGTAACATTTTTGTTCACTCAGGCTGTTTTTAAGAGTAGAAAACAACCTGTGAATGAGTCAGACTACATCTGTGAAATCCATCATAAACTACGAAGGTGATCTGTAAACAGGAGTGAGTTACCCAAACACAAGTGGTAACTAAGGCACCAACTAGTCACAATAACAAGCTTGCATAGCTGGTGCAGGGGCTGGTGATGGCAGTCAGAAATACTGCTACAGGCTGACACCTACGAAGGTCTAGTACCAAAGAAGGGAAGCAGGAGAAAGTTTTTTTTTAAAAGATCTTAAAAAACAGTGGCACTTAAAAAAAATTTTTTTTAAGATAATAGTTTTTGCCTTTTTGAGTCACGGTTTCGATATGGGCACTTCAGGCTGGACTAGAACTTGCTTTATAGCCCAGGCTGGTCTCAAAACTTGCAACAATCCTTGTGCTTCAGCCTCCTGAGGGCTGGGATTAAAGTCATGTGCCACCACACCCAGCTTAATCAATAGTTTTGGGGGTTGGGGAGGGAAAGGGATATAGTTCAGGGGCTCAAGTGCCTGCAAGGGAATCAAACTCAAGACCTTGTGCTTGCCAGGCAGATGCTTGTGCTGCTGAGCTACGTCCCCTCTAACCCTATTATTGAAAGAGTTAACATGAGTTTTGTTCATAAAAATACACACACACACACACACACAGAGAGACACTACAATCTCCAGAAATCCTGAAAACTTCTTAGTTTTATTTTTTTTGCGGTGATGGGGCCTTAACACAAGGCTTCATGCATGCTGGGCAAGTGCCTACACTGAGCCACAGCCCCTGAAACTCTTCTCAGCTGCCCTGTACCAATTGCTGTCAGCCAGGAAATGTCTTCAAGGAGATGTCAGAAAATTTCAGGACAACTTCACATGCAAAGTAAAAGGAGTTTTCCAAGATTGCCTGTCCTAGTCCAGTGAGATTCAGTCAAGGTCAGATGAAAAAGTTAGATAATCTGCAACTAAAATCCCTCTGGAAAAGGGTTGCAAATACCTTGGAACTACTACTATATAGGTATGTTTAGTGGACACAGAGTGTCAGCATGCTGTCAGTGCAAGGCATATGGGTTACCTGCTCTGGGAAAATCAGCTAGGTGTTGCACAACTCATCAGCTACAAATTTTCATCAGTATTAACCACAAGGTGTAGTAAAATGAATGCTAGTCTTAGAAGACTTGAGAATGGTAAATTGCCTTCTGTGCCATTTACCAGATGTTTAATTTTGGCCAGATGTGGGCAGCAGCTTCTTATTTGTAAAACAGACATCATAATATCTACCACAAAGAGGAATTGTAAGATTAGATATAATAGGAGCCGGGGAGATGGCTCAGTGGAATAAGCGCTTTCCTGGCAAGCACAAGGGCCTGAGTTCAATCCCCAGTTCCTCAAATTAAAAAAAATTAGATATAATATATGAAAGAGTCCTTTATAAATTAAAAACACATTTTCATAAAGTGAAGATATACTACAATTACATTATTTTTAGAACTGCTTTACCCAGAATTACTTTTACTTCTAATAAATCTTGGCAAATTTCTTGCCAAGAATCCCTTTTTTTGACAGTGCAACACATAGGGGAGCCTAAACTACTATTTTATCTGAAAACAATTTATAAATCCATTATTTGCCACTTGGCCTGTGTGCCAGGCCAAAAAAAAAAAAGTCTATTTATGAAATAAGTCCTATCTAGTCACTTCCTGCTTGGCCTCAACAAGTGTTCCCTTTTTGAGGATGCACTGTGCCTTTTTTAATCTCATTTTTTCCCCCACTGCTCTATGGGCAGATGAAAAAAGTGCTGTCTGATGAGAAATGAGTAGATGCTGTGTGACCCCGGGACTTCCCAGGGAAGCACACACACAATTGTGGTTTGAGGGCATGGCAACTGTTCACTGTACCTTTTCCGTGTTCCCTCCCCTCCAAATCAGTATTTTCCCACCTACTGTAGACTACCGACAGATTGATGTGTAGGAGGGACACACGTGCACCTCTGCATTATATCTGAAGGCAGAATAAGCCATTACGTTTTTATGCAGAGGAGAGCATATATATTCATAGTGAAGCAATCACAAGAGGCCACACTCTTCCCAACTACTCATCTTAGCTTAAGGAGTACTCAACTGTTGTTATCATGAGCTCATAATAAGGATCTCTAATTGCTGACACTGCAAAAAGTACAGCAACCACAATTTTTAGACTGTAAGCCATTTTAGGAAAAGGCCTGTTCCTTAGCTATCCTAACAGTAATTTTAGGGCCTACCTAAATGAGGTTTCACTGAGCTAGCTGCTTTCAGCATGCCGAGGCTTTCACACTGTTCTTTCTTTGTGCTTACTAACTGGTGTCTGAGGACATTAAGGTGTATAGTTGTACCATAAATGGTAGCATACCTTTACATTTTCATGGCTGATTCCTTATGTGGGTTTATGGCAAAACAGAAAATGTTCTTCACTTGCAATATATATTACAGGGAGTTTTAAAACCTTTGCCAGAATTTGGCACACATTCTTACTCCTCACCTCAGCCTCACAATTTCTAGAGGCTAGAGCATGGTAATCAGGACGTTTCCAGAAGTGTACAACATCTTGAAGCACAGCCCCTATTTCTCCACTGACTGCAGTTGGTGAAAATCACCTGGCCTGGCCACCCAAGACAGCAGCCTCCCCTGGGATTAATTCAGCTTTGCCAAATGGGGGATGTGAGACATTCTCTCCTTGGGCAGATCAGACACTAATCGGAGGCCAGGCCACTGGTTTCTGTATCAAAACAGAAGCACCAAGTTCTATAACTAACATGACTTCCTCTTTGTGAGGTCTAAGAAAACAGCCAAAATCTGAGAGACCAAAAAGCTAGCTTTTAATTTCACAGCATGGTGATCAGCATTTTAATGCTTTGCTAAACAATGAATTCAATGCTACAAAGATGAAACTCTTTTTTAAAAAAGCCCAAGAACCAGCAAATGGCCCACTTATTTCCAGTAACATTTGTTATAGCCAAGAGCAGTGTGGCCAGGGCCCAAACAGACTGTGCAAATGTCTGCTCTGTAAACCCTGCAGCACCTTTGATGTTCCCTAAGCATTTCATCTATACTAAGGAGAACATGAAGGCGACTTTACTTTCTTTCTTCTTTGATAGTCCCTCAATCTGGAGAGAGAAGGAAGTACGTGACTCTAGGGTAGTCCACTGACTTCTTGACATTTGGTGGTGGTGGTGGGGTGGCAATGGCTGAGATATACAGCCTCTCTTAAAGCAGCAAATAGTCCCAGTGCATGAGAACTGAAGAGCTTCTCAGAATTTCTTAGGTTTGGAGGCACCCACAAATTCCAGTTCTACAATCAAGATGTGGAAGCCATCCACCTTGCCAGTGCCCAAAATAGATGAGATAATCATAATGCTTCCTTAAATGCATACAGCACTTTACGATTTACGACAAGTATTATCTCAGTTAATCCTCATCACAATTTGGGATGAGGGGGGATACTGTAATCTCTGCTTTATAGATAAGGCTTAGAGAGGCAAAATGATTGATCCCAGCATCTCAGTCGTAAAACCAGGATAAATCGAGATCTTTGGTCTCTAAATGCCTCATCAGCCATTCCTTATCTCAGCCTTCCCATCAGCTGTGCCCAGACACAGTGGGACTGCAGGGCCACCAAGCAGCACTTCCAAAGGATTCTGTGAACCTACCTGCCGGCAAGCAAACAAAACAGGGCCAGTGGCTAGGCCAAGCTTCAGGTCGGTGGATGTTGGTTTGCCCATCTGTTTGGAAGATGCGGTGAAGTCCAGCACATCATCTATGAGCTAGTAGAAGGGCAGGAATGTGAGATGCACCCCACACCCCACCACCACCCTCTGCTGCTCTGGTCATGCATGAGGGAGTATGGCTGTCCTGACCCAAACCTTTTTGCAGGGAAGGTGCACACCAACCTGAAAAGCCATTCCCACATTTCTTCCATATTGATAAGCAATCTCATGCACCACTGGGTCTGGGCATCCTAAGACAGAGACCTGAAACAGAAACAGGATTCTGTGGTAAGCTATTGGCAGCCAACCTACGATCAAAGAATCGGCCACATGGTCCCTTAAAGATAGGCACTGTCAGAGATACTGATGCCAAAAGGCCAAACAGATACGAACTGTTCTTTTTCTATTTGGCAGTGCTAGGGATTAAACCTGGGCCATCAGCATGCTAGGGAAATGTTCTATCATAGCTACATCCCAGCCTGTTAAAGTCTAAGAAAACGATCTATTCTACCTGCCCACACTTCTTTCAAAACAGGAATAAGCAGTCTTTTTCATTGCTTAAGAAAAACTGAGCTTTGATGATACTAGTTCTGCCAGTATTATGCTTAGTAAACCTTTCTGACATGAAAAAGCAGATCACAGTACTTGAAACGACGGTTTCTAGCATGCAGCATACTAGCCTTACTACTGTGGGTGTCCACGGTCTCCTCGGCCTCATCCTTCCTGTTCTCGTCTACCCCATCTGTGGCTTGTTCTTTTAGTAACCACTGGTGATTCCTTACTTCTGAATGCAGCTGATTTCTTACAGTACCTGTCATAGACTTCAGCCTGTGTTTGGACAGTGTTTTATTTTTTAGAAGGATCGTCCCTGGTCCTACTGTTTCTGTGTTTCTCTTAGAAGTAATTTAACTGTATAAAAACTATATATTTTTCCTTGTCAGTGGGGAGAGAAATAGGACTTCAAAAGTTTTTTAAAAACATGAAGAAATCTACCCAGCACACCAGCCCCTTGAGTGTATTTCCTGCTGGCCAGTGAGGCATGCTAAGCAGGCCCAGCCACATTTTCAGAAAACAAAGACTGGGTCCAAACCAAAACGGGGGAAGCGGAGAGCCACTGCTCTGCTAGAGAGGAAATGTCTATATTGACTCTCAGTGAAAAAGCCAGATGGAGCTCTTCAGCCACCTTCTGCAATGGGTCAGGGTGATAAATACTTCTGTCCCCAAACATCACTCCCTGTCTGTATAGTCCTGTGGGGGCAGGCTCTGGAGTGAGCCTGCCAAGGTTGTATTTAAGCCCTTACAACTGCCACATTGTGGAGGACCACCTGAGCAGCTCTCCTTGAAAGAAGAGCGACTGTCTCCATTTTGACTGAGCCTGACCCTATTTCCTCGTATTGTTCTGTACAGAGCTGGCTAGGACTTCTGTTTATCCTTCAGTTGGCCTTAAGCAATGTCTATTGGTCTAGCTGAGGTGCTGGTGATAGTCTCTGAAGGTGGCGTGTGTGTTTCCCTGGTAACCTACACCTGCTGCTCCTTAATGTGAGCCGGGTTGAGACAGGACCGTAGAGCTGATGCTCTGCGGCACCAGCTGGGATCGAGCCTCGAGATTGAGGCTATGACTTCCTGGGGCTTGAAAGACTACATCAAAGCTGAAGCACCAGACTTACCAAACATTAGATACTATATAATGCAGATTACTCTCTCTGCATATCTTCTCTGCATATGGCAGAGGTAAATTTAGGCCACCCAGCTAGCTTAGCTCACAGTAGTCACCTACTTCCCACAATTCTCAGTCAAGCCTCCTTAAGCCACTCCTCCACTAAATAAAACCAGGTGAGGCCCTGGGTCACTCTCTTGGTTCCAGAAAGCCATCTTCGTGGCTGGACTTAGAGCCCCTTGACTCCTCAATGATTGAAAATATAACTTAGTGTCTTTATTTTCACTGTGGGTTGCATTGTAAGTAGTAGATTGGAATCAACTCCATGGGATTCCAACAACATAACTTTGGAATTACAAATATTGGCTTCTTGGATCAAGACGAGGATCTGGAAGTGTCTCCTACACCACGTCACCTTGGCACAGTGTTTAATCTTTCTGTGCTTTCGTTTCCTCATCTGTGAAAGGCAGGACTTAAAAGCACTTATTCAGAGTGCTGATGAGAAATTAACTGATGCTCCACCTAAGCACTCAGCAATTCTGCCTGGCTTCTAGTTAGAGCTCAGTCTGTACTTGCTATTATTATTAATGATCCTTCACATTTTCCATACTCGCTGGACCCAGAACCAGGAGTTTGGGCAAAGTCCATGCACTTCTGCTATTTAAGGCCAGATCATGTAAGTTCCTCAGCTCTGAGAACGCTTCCTAACCACTTAGCGTAGTCCCTGCTGTGAAGGTTGGCCCTAAGCTCATGATGAGACCACACTGCCTTACTGGAGTGAATAATAAGCTTATATCAGTTTCCAACACTAACGACCTGGCTGTGCTCTATATGGAGGGGAGGGGAGATCTTTGTGAAGCCACACGGGGAGATTGAGCAACGTAAGCAGCCAACATATCCATCAGGTTGGCTCAGGGATAGCGCAGGGCACAGTCTGAGCAGTCCGGGATACGTTGGGCTCAGAAAAGAAAGATCTTTTTCCCTAGATAGAAAATAACCAATAACAAGCAACTTCCTACAGAGAGACTAATGTTATTTTATCAACACAAAGCCATCCAGAAATACAAACTTTTTGAAAAAAGAAAACATTTTAAAAACTCTTATATAATGAATGAATTCATGGAGCATGTATGATTAGCATTTTGCATCGTTTTAGTTAAACTTCACAACATAGTAATTATGGAACTGTTGCTGCCAGCTTTTTATCAATTCCTGAGCACTTAAGATGTGCCAGACAGCATCCTCAGATTTCTTACGTGTCTAGCCACCCGTGAGGGGCAAGAGTTGCTACATGGCAAAGACACACTGGAATTGGAATCTAATCCTAATGCTCTCTCCAGAGAATGTCCTCTTAGTCACTTCACAGTGCAGCTTCTAATGGACACAGCAGGAGCACAGTGTGCAAGTGCACACAGAGTGTGTGACCTGCACCGTCCCTCCAATCACACGGACAGAAGAACAGCACCTTCTCCTCACATGGTGTGGAGTTGGTTCTGCTAGGTTCAACTCCTGCAGCCTAAGGACCACCCCAAAGAACTGAGCCCTAATGGCTAAGCACTGTCTGGATCTGTGGCAAGCTACCAGGAAACTAACACGACCAGGAAAACGACATGCAACAGGCACAACATGGAAAATGACGAGGAGGTGTGGAGACACGAGAGGCACGCCGCCCGCGCTTAGCTTTGGAGAGATGCGGCACATCTTGCTCAAGTGGGCGGAGTGTGGAGAAGGACTGAGTCAGTGGCACTGGAGTCCAACTAACTGGTCTGAAGCAGCTGCCACAGGCAGGCTGCGCAGCATTATGTGTTTCTCCCTGCAAAAGCGTCCCTGCACCTCATACTAGATTCTCCTCAGCCTTGGCCGACACAGGAGCTACTGTTTGCCTGGGATGAGCAAGGCGCTTGATATTTATCAAGGACTCAACCTGAAGGGATATATTTGCACCACCATAGGTTAAAATATATTCTGATGCTTAAATATTTTTATTTTGTTCTTATTAAAAATAGTGGAGAAAAACATAGTGGAGAGAATTAAAGAGCTACCATTATAGAAATATAAAAATAAAATACTGTCTGAAATCAACTGAAAATATTGGGAGAAAATGTACTCAACACAGTATCACATACAAAAAGTTAATACTAATATAAACCATTCTTATAATCTGAGGAAAAGACCAAATATCCCCTAGAAAAATAGGCAAAAGTTATGAACAATTTATAAAAATTAAAGGGATAGAATTAAAGGGATAGAATAGCCCTTTATTCTCCAAAATGATGTTCAACTTCACTCAGAAAGAAAATTTGTAAATTAAAGATTCACTACATGCCATTTCTCATCTATTACAATGGCCAAAAAAATAAAATAAAATAAAAATAAACAATTAAATAAAAATTGAAGTATAATGCCACATTCAGTTGGTAAGCTATGGGAAAGAGGCAAGACACCCTAACAAACTACTGATGGACACGCACACAGGTGTGGAGAAATTTGGTGGTGGTGTCCATATATGCTGCTGTCCCTAAATTTTTTTTTTTTTTTGTCAGTGTTGGCTAGCAGATTTGTCATCACCTTTTAGGAGTAGGCAAACACAGCTTAAAAGATTACTAATAGATTTTCACATTCATCAATTTCAGAGTTTACAGCCCACCCCAAACAGGGCATATGAAGCATCTGGGAGCACAGGGTGATTTACCATAGAGCCAAACTTCAAACACTAAGTTGAGTTTCATCTTGGATACCTACCAGTCAGGAATTCTAACTGACGTAAAGCAAAAGACACATTCAGAATGGCCCCTGTGGGCATCCAGGTCTGAGAGTAGGAACCGTGCTGGAGACCTGGCTTCCCACTAGAGGGCAACAACTATCACCCACTTGGGGCTCACAAGGCAGCCCTAAGGAGGCCTGTCACTCAGCAAAAGGAATAGTGCCACTTCAGTGACGAGCAAAGTGGGAAGCTCCGGGAGGCTGAGCTTCGAATGAAGGAAGCAAGAGTAACACTTCAGCTCTGCCTTCCAAGCGCAGAGGGGCCACAACATCTACATGGCAGAAATAATCACAGCTCAGTAGTCCATGCCGTGGGCACAAGATGACCATTTCCAGGACCATGGGGCAGGGCACCAGGGAGAACAAAGGGCGCCACAGGCGGTCTTCAAAAAACTTTATTACAAAATTGCTGCCCCTAAATTTATCTGAGGTTTACTTCTCACAATACACTCATACATGTGTAAATCACAGTAGCATTGTTTGTCTTGGTAAACTATTGAAAACCAAAGGCACACATGCATGAAAGTGGTTTAGCAAACTGTCCTGGGTCCACACTGTAAGAATGACTCTATTTGTGAAATGAAGTCTAAATCAACATGATATGGTTTCAGAATACCTGAAATTACGGAAGCAAGTGCAAAAAGAAAACAAACACCAAGTAGTCCAATTTACTACCAGCTATAAGAATGGGGAGGTTTTTGCTAAGCAGAACACAGGAAGGAGGAAGCAACAAGCAATGAGAGTGGCTCCCCTACCAGTTAGGGTCAATGGGGAGGGCCAGCAGACTACAGAATGAACAGGGTGAGCCATTCCTCGCAGTTCAGACTTCTGCAGCAATGTTAATGACTCACACATTCAAGGAACAACAATGACAGAATTCTCAACGCCAAAAATAGTGACATGGGAAGATATTCCCTAACCTGGAATAAAAATGCACCAAATTATATTTCAAACAATCTATCCCCCTGTGAAAAGGAGAGATAACTTTTCAACAGGCTTTGATATTACCCTCAAGATTAAGAGTGGGCTGGGGAGATAGCTCAGTAGAATGACAGGCAGGTACAAGGTCCTGAGTTCAATCCCGGTACCACAAAAAAAGAAAAAAAAAGAGTAAACATAACACTGAACTCTAGGTGTTAGTTTTGTTTTTCAAAGGTACAGATGTCAGTTTGAAACTCCTATAGATATTCTATAATCAAGCAAATCCATACACTGCGGGGAATGAGGGAAGGAAGCTAAAAATATGGAAAGCTGGAATGCTAGAGTAAGTCATTACTCCTATGGGATTAGATGGATACACTATTTGGTAGTGCTTCCACTGAGAGGCCTAGAAACTGACACCACATGCCCAAATTCTAGCATGGACAAGACCCTGGCTTCCATTCCCAGCACCAAAGGGAAAAGACAGCTGACCATTTTTCATATATCGTCATGCAAAATACACTCTGTAACTTATGCAATGAAAGCTATGACTTGTTTCCGCAGAAAAGCTGATGGAAATGAGACCTAGGGGGTCAGATGGACTGTCTGGTGTTTTTCAGACAGCAAAAATCCTTAAGTTGAAAGCACCTTGCTTTCTTCACTTCATGTATTGTACAATAATTCATGTTGATTATAGACTATTTTAGAAACAGTGGAGTCGTAGCCATTGTGTGGATCCAGTACAGTATATTGGGCTACTTTACTGGATGTTGGCCTTTGATTTTCAGTATTCTATAGTGACAACAACACTTCATTTCTCAGCACCATGGTCCAATACAAAAAGGAACTTGAGCCCCTTGGGGAAATAGTGGGTTCCTGGACTAGAAAAAAAAAAAAAAAAAAAACCAACCAGATGTACCTTCTTCTAGAAACCAAACAAGTAGTGAAAGAATGATGGAGACATGGTAAAAGGACCTTGGAGCCATGTTAAAGGGCCTTCCCCCACTGCCCAATATGGGCTATCTGACCATGAAAACAAAAAACTGAGGAATTCTAATCCATACACTAAATAAGAACCTAAGAATCCATAAAGATCCATATAGATAAGAGCTTCCTTATAAAAGGTATCAATTCTATTGTAGAAGAGGAAGGATTGAAAAAGTACTACTTGACAACCACTCTAGCAATAATGCCTCAGGAAAGAATCATAAATAGATGCTAAAAACCAGAGCATCATAGTTTGATGAGACATAGAATATTTATATAATATGAAAATACTACCTTGAAAATAGGACAACTTTAAAGTAAAGCGTCTTGGCAGATACCACCCAAACCAAGTGATCAAAGTGTACCTCATCACAATAGGACCGAGAGGCGACACACATTTCCTAATGTGACAGAAGAACACAGCCTTGCTTTTGCTGTCTTCCTCCAAAAATCCAAAAGTAGAACCTAATCTTGAGAAACCTCAGACAACCCCAACTCAAGAGGCTTAACACCTAATTACTGCACACTCCTTAGACATCACAGTGGAAAAGACAAAAGGCTGAGGAAGGCTTCCGAAACCAAACAAGTAGTGAAAGAATAATGGAGACATAGTATCTCCATGTCTACTGGGCACTGATGGCCCTGCACGGAGTTACACTGCCATTTTCACCCCCTTGTTAGAGGGCCTTAGAAAGTTACTAAATTGTGCAGGCTGGGTCCCTTTTGCTTCAGCCTCCCAGGGTGCTGGAGTTACGGGCATGGGCCACCACATGTAGTTATTCCAGACCTAAAGAAACTAAGTTCTCATGACAACTAAAGGCACCACGTGGCCTTGGATTGGTTCCTGGACCCCACCATATACACCAATTTATTTTCCTTTGGTTGTGATGGTATTTGGAAAATGGAAAAATCCAAGTAAGACCTGTAGGTGCAAGAATATAATATTGAAAGCAGTGTTCTAATATGACTTCCACACAAAGTCCTGTGGTGGTGCTCTGGAACTTTGAGAATAAAAGAATAATAGATGCTAAAACCACAGCATCAGAGTTTGATGAGAAATAGACTATTTATATAATATGAAAATACTACCTTGAAAGTAGAATAACTTTAAAGTGAGAGATAAAAAATAATAAATCCATTGATTCCAACCAGGCCACACTATTCTCCACAGAGAATAGAAATGTGGGAAAATGAAACAAATCAAAATCCTGTGGGACAAATAAGGTGGGATTCAGCCTCTATCTGCAGAACAACGGAGAGTTCACCTGACCCCCTACATATCATTGCCATCAGCTTTTCTTGGGGAAATAAGCCATAGCTTTTACTAGGAGGCCACAACATGTTGTTTTGCATGACTGTGTAGAAAAAATGGTCTTTTCTCTTTTCCCTGTGGCGCTGGGGAATGGAATACAGGGCCTTGCGCTTGCTAGGCAAGGATTCTTCTACTGAACTACACTTCCAACCCTCACCCCCCAATTTTTTTTTGGTGGAACTGGAGATGGAACTCAGACCCGCGCTTATTCTACTGAGCTATCTCACTGGCCCCCTCAACCACCTTTTGACAGTAAGTTTAATCCTATTTAATCATCAACCAGTCACAAAATAATCTTCCTAGCAGCCCTCTCTTAGATTTTACCATTATTTCCATTAAAATACAATGGACGATTAAAAGACAGTGGGTAGGGCCGGCCTGATAACTCAGCAGACTAAAGCGCCTGCTTAGGCAGAGTGCAGTGGCTGGGGTTCGATCCCTGGCCTGCTGTGCCGGCCCCGTCCGTGGGGTGCGTGATGCAAGCCTGTAATCCCAGCTCTTGGGAGGCTGAAAACAGAGGAGAATCACTACAGAAGGGTGGGGAGGTGAGGGGAAAAGTGGCATCCTTAGAATGAAATGAACTGGTGAACTCCACATTTTCAAGACATTTGGAATCAAAATGATTTCTTTAATAATCTTGGTCTTTAAGGTCTTATCTCCTCTTTTTGACACATCTAATTTGCTCTATGTGCATTCCTTCAGAGCTCAGATGCCTTTGCAGTTTAAATACCAAGAGTACATAAAATAGCAATTTTGAATATATAACACCTCTGGAATATTTCCACTCATGGGCACTTAAACACAGAAACTTTTTCAGAGAGCTCACACTATGGTTTGCTTCACTATTCTCAAAGCCCTGGGGTTTAGGAATAAAGCACAGAAAAAGCAGGTAGTTCTGGGCTGATGTTAGCATGCCTCCCAGTGGCCAGCATTCAACATTTCATTTCACGAAGGTTAAGCCAAATTAATACACAGACAAGATTCCTTGCTTACTTCATAATCTTTGAAGAAGGTTCTCATTACAAAAGAATACACATGCATTATCTTGAGCTGCTGAAACAGAGATGGGACAATGAAGCCGTCTCTGCAGGGTGTAGTGGCTGAGTCAATCAGCTACAATTCTGGAGCCCTTTAGTTCTGCCTCCATGCCTTGGTGCTATGCACTTGTGTTTCCAATTCCAGCAGCCCTGCCACCTGCTAGTACTTTTAACTGCACCCTCACACTCGTGAAATTGCCAACGAACTTCACTTACACACTATTGTATCCTGTAAGGGAAGCTTTGATGACTATATTAAGAGGGTATCAGAACAGTAATTTATACATGACCCTAAGAGTGTTCTTTTCTTGTTGCTTTAATTACATGGGACTACAATTTGCCTCCATGTGTCTGTCAGTGTGAGATCTCAGATAAATATTCTATGGAGATTGTTTTCTCACTCACAGGCCTAACAACAAATGCCACACATTTAGTCTATAGCTCAAAGGGTGAGCAATGGAGAAATACATAGATATGGAGAATAAAGGGAAAGCTGGGGGGCGGGGAGCAGCTGATGAGTCACATTCCATTTATCTTCCAGAGGAAAAAATGGCTTATTTATATCTCATATAATAATACTGGGAAGAGCTAATAAAAAATATATAGACCACTAGTAAAACCTAATAGATACTTTCACTTGGTAAACATATCTTAAAAATTACTGTAAAAGACATATTGTCATTAATTCCCTTTGAGATATTTCTGCTCACTTCAAACCCACTGACTCCATCTTTCCTGCCATTTTCTGAAACCGTTCTGAAAGTCCTCTCTGTTGTCTGTAGCTGCAATGTTGTGACTGCTGCAGCGTCCTGAATCAATTCAAAATGTTCACCTTTCATGGACCTTCTGGCTCTGGGGAAGAGCCGGAAGTTACACAGAGCCAGATCTGGTGAACACAGTAGATAAGGATGCGCCAAACTTGTACAAGCCTGTCTTTCTGTTGGATGGCACCCAGCAGCAGCATTCATAGCATTTATCGGATTTCACAAAGACACGAAGCTGCTTCAGAAAGTGACAAGAACAATGAGACAGTGTATTTGAAGGAAGGGGAAGTATTTTGAGGGGCATTAATGGCAATGTGTCTTTTATTTTAACAAAAATTTTTAAAAATTCAAACGTTCACTATATATTTGAAGCACATCTTGTATTATAAAGCTTACTTTGATTCAATTCTTGGGAAGACAAAGAAAAGTTAATGTCTGCATACCGAGACTACAAAACATGAAAACAATGTCCTACAGCAAAAGTTCTCTGCTATTGGGAATATAATTATTTCCTCATTTTCCTTTTGAGATTCTGGATACTATTTCAAGGTTCTTCAAAGAAACATTTTCTAGGAGAATTAGCTCCCAAGAAAGAGCTATGAGACATTTTTAACTTGAAAAAGACAGAACGTACATACTGCTTTACAACTGTTGGCGATCAGACTTGCAGTCTTCTTGAAGGTCTTTTCAAGATAGTGGGCGAAGCGTTCATTCTCATCTTCTTTGGATCCTAGCTGAAGAAACTCGCCTATAAAGGAGAGGGGTCACTTGAGAAGTGGTTTTGTTGCCTATACAAGAACGAATGGAAGGGAAAGGAAGGGAAGGGGAATGAGGGGAGGGGAAGGGAGAGAGGGAGGAGAGTAGGTTTCCCAGAGCAGAGGCACAGCTGTGCTGACAAACACCATGTACAGAGCTGCTTTCAGTAAAATAGATATAATAGTAGTGTTTCCAATTCGTGCCAGAGCTATAGATGCTGCAGAAAGAATTAAATCTCCAGCGAGAACAGCCTAAAAAACAA